AACGGATTAAAACATAAAAAGTAACTAAAATACGTATTAACACACCTCCAGGTGGATAAAGTTAAAAAACGATACAAGAATACAAAAAAAAACACACAGTAATCCTCTCGAACCGGATAATAGGAAGCACTTGAGCCGATCGACCCGTTATTTATAAAAAAAAACCATTGTGCTGGCAACCCCAGATAATTATTATTTTCGTAGTTGGCGACACTGCGTCGGACAATGGAGGCCCTTCCTTCCTGTTTGCTTTTCGCGCTATTACACGTCAATGCCTCGGGGATAGGCCAATTTGAATTCGGGTATAATGGAATTTTCGTCGGCATTATAGGTTCCATTTCGTTGTAGAGACGTATAGTGTTGGATAATTGCATGCTTTGTTACTTGTAATTGATATAGAAAGCAGTTTAAGCCGAAGATTGCATAAGAACCTGATATACGTATAAGATAAACTCCTTTGTCATCCAAAATAGCGGAGTAATATATAATAATACGTAAAATAACATGGAAAAAGAACTTTTATTATAAGTGTACAATCGCATATATTTTTCTTGGCGTTTCTATTAGGAAAACCAATATTATCAATTTACCATAGGTAATAACAAATGTTAGACATAATAGGAAAAAAAGGCTATCTCATCGCTTTTACGGTGGAAGAAAACAACATGAAGAAACCGGCATGTGTGAGAGAACCTAACTATATAAGTACATAGTTTCGAATGATATGTGAAATCGAACAGCTCGCACTTCGTCATCGTGGTGGGCTATGGCCTGATTCTTCTCGAATTGAGTGTAGGCAGGCAATCAAAAACGTAGATCAGAAATCGAAGTCGAGCTTAAATTCAATAACACAAGATTTAATTACTTCGGAAAGGACGCTCCATCTTCGCGGGGCAAATTGATCTACATATAATATTATAAAACTGAAGAAATTGTTTGTTTAGACGAGCTTATCTTTAAAGGCAAGATCTAACAAAAACTTTATGCCAATTTAGCCAATTTATTGAAAAAGGTTGGAAGACTAACACTACGATACCCTTAGGCGCAGAACAATTATACACAATATACACAAATGAGCTACGCGAGCAGAGTCACGTATAAATGGGAATATATAAAACTACAAGCAAAACCACGTGAAAAAGTTACCATATATTTTAATTCCATCCACACTGACATAACAGTAAGTTTCCGCACGACAGTTCACCGCTAACGAAGGCATTCGAGATCAGAACAAAAGTCCGATCAACTAGACAAAGCGCTGCTAATTGGTAGGCACTGCCTTATTGTGCTTTATTTCTAATTAGCCTTTATATAGGTTGATTTGGTTTCATTGACTTTTGAGGTATTTTGATTGGTTCAATCATTGTTTTCGCTTTTGTTCGTCTAAATAATAAATTATAATATATTTACGATATCTGTCATGAAATATTTATATGTATAATGTTAAAGATTATTCATTTCATACAATAGGCTTATAAAGATTTGTCTGTTTGTGACTTGAAAAATATATTACAAAGTGACTGTACCATCGGTCCAGTGATGACATATACGGCTGCAGATACGAAGGTCCTGATTTCGAGCCTCGAGTCAGGCCAAGTTTAGTTATTGGGTTTTTTTTACAAGAATTCTCAGTAACAGGCCGGAATGAAAAAGTTGGCGATGGTAATGGCGAATGTAAAAAAAGTTTATTTTTTATACCAGCTGGTCCCTTAAAGTACTAAATAGATTTTATTTTCCGATAAAAAAAACTACCAAATTCAGAACAAAGTGAAGTTATTTTTTATTCAGGGAAAGCAAAAATTCCGCGGAATAGCGCGGAATTTTACGGGCAACAAAATTACGTAAGCAACTTCTACACATTCCGATAAATCATTTTGTTGTCGTGAAATAAATGATACTAAAAATACGTACGAATATATATATATATATATATATATATATATATATATATATATATATATATATTTATAAAATAAAATCTAAATCATGATACCCGTGTCACTATTATATACAAATTTTAATTAAAAAAAATACTAGAACCAAACATCTATCCCCTGTCAATGTCAACTAATACAAATATAATAATCGTCAAACGGTTAATTTGTTGACGGCTTAATAATATGTATGTATGTATGTACGCGCGTAATTGCGCCACGCGCTCCGTTCGCTCCCCTCGCGATGCAGGCCCTATTACATATTTTATATTCGGTAAAAGCCGATTTTTATACTACTTATTGAGAAAAATAATCAATTAGTTATGATTTTAAAAATATAATAGGTATACATTTCTTTTTAGTAAATTTAATCCTAAGAATTTATTTCGGCATTACAGAATATAATCTCTAATTCAACAAGCGTTGCCTTTTTTGTGCAATTCTGATGCTCTCTTTGGAAAAGACTTTTAAGTTTTAAATAAAACTATATTTTCGGATTTTTTATGCATTTATTTTGATTTTTGGTTCCCGACGATTCAGATGCTTTACAGCAATTATGGTCACGGGAGAGAATGAGATTTTAGACATATCAAAAATCCGAAACGACAGTTTTATTTAAATTTCGCTTCGGGTTCGTCTCAAGACAGAAACAAAACTATCCCACGGGAACCATATTTTTTTCCGGGATAAAAAGTAACCTACGTGCTATTCCAGACTATAATCTATATCTGTGCCAAATTTCATTCAGATCCGTTCAGCCGTTCTGGCGCGAAAGATTAACAAACATCCATACATCCTCACTAACTTTCACATTTATAATATTAATAGGAAGTCAAATTGTCGCCTTAATCTAAGAAAATATTATAGAAATGACTTATATAATAATTTATTATAAAATACTAGTACTACTATTGTGAATCTAAACCATTCCCAGATCCCCTTGAACACACACAAAAAATTTCATCAAAATCGGTCCAGTCGTTTGAGAGAAGTTCAGTGACATACACACTCACACAAGAATTATATATATAAAGATATAATTAGTATTTAAATGTTATTTTTATCTATAAATTATAAAGAATTCTAAGTACACTTCTAGTGCATAATAGATCAGACTTTTTATTAGGTTTTTGTAAATATTTTTATTAATACTATGTTCGATGTAAGACTCTGCGATTTAGAAAAAATATAGTATGTCTCTTCTTCTCGAAACCGTAAGAATTGATTCAACTCCATCCTCCATCAACCTTAGAATACCTACATATATTAGTGAAATTAGACATTTAAAACTAAAAGTATACGTTTGGCAAACCATTTACCATAGCACCATCACCTTGTAAAAAGATACCCGAGAAATATTTAAGGAATGAAATAAGACGAAAAATATCAGATTTTTAATCATGAAATATATTATTGTATATTAGCAAAAGAATAGACAACAGAAATCGTTTAAAAAATATAAAAAAATATATATTTAAAATTTTCTTCTTTTCTCAGAAAATAACTAATGCGTCAAAAGGCGATGAGTCAAAGGTCAAAAAAAAGGACCAACAGAAGACGTGAAAGTTGCTAGTCTGAAAACAGTAAAACTTTAAATAATTGGTAACAACTATGAATCGGGTTTTGCCTTAATGCCGGTAAATGAAAATAATATTATTTTTCATATATTTATAATATATTCATGGGTGCAAAATAGAAACTCAATGAATTTTATTATAATCTTGTTTATAATTCAGAAAGATTATTTTAATATTTGAAAAACTACTTAAATAAACAAATAGACATTGTTATTTTCTTGTAATTTGATATTATATATTTTGACACTTTAGAAATTTTCAGGTCATTTAAGTTTTCTTTTGTAACAGTATTGTGGTTTACGTATTGGACTAAGATCCCGCTGCAAGATTGCTACGTTCATAGCGTATTTAATCAATATCATTTTTTTATATACAATAATAAATGGGACAATATGTTTTGACTGCGGTGCCCATTAAAATGTACCCGCTAGTATGTTTAATAAAGTAAATAATAATTGACTTTTTGGAACAAAAACGATGCATTTGTTATTAAAATGAATTATAATCCACTTCACAGAAATATACGTAGAGATCTTGAAATGTCCCCTCACGTAATCCAGTTTTGCAAACAAATATTATATATCAAAGAACAGCATATCGCTGAATCAGCATAATCGCTCTACGATCGGGTGGTAGCTTCCTTACGGACGTAAAAAACTGCCTTTTCATTTAAATGTAAAAATTAAAGATATTCATAAGTGGTTGTAAAAGTCTATATGAATAAAATATAATACTTTCTTAGATTAACGCGAATATTTGACATTTTAAATAAAACTATCATTTCGGATTATTTCGCGGATTTATTTGGGTTTTTGGTTCCCGACGTTTCGAATGCTTTACAGCAATCATGGTCACGGGAGAGACTGTTTGAGACGTCTATAACCGTAGTTTGAATTAATTCGAAAAGATAGTTTTATTTAAAATGAATAAAGTATAATTTGAGTTGATAGTATCACTTATAAGAATCAAATATCTTATATACTACATATCTACAAAAAATGTATTTTATTTCATTAGGCTTAGAGCACACGATGAACTTTCAACGCGCAATTCGTATGCATTTTAGTGCATCAGTGCAGAAATGCGCAAATAACGGAAATTTTATACACACATCGTCCGCGTGTTTATTAAACATCTTGTATATGCTACCACTATACATTGAAATCGATTAATATCCAGGTTAACCAGCTAATCCAGTGGTAACGCGCTCGCTTGGTAAACCGAGTTAAGTAGGTTCACACTTCACACCTGAGTCTCGCATCTCTAATATTTTCACGTGTGAATCATTTCCAACATGATTACCACTTGTCTTACGGCGAAGGAAAACCTGCATGTCTGAGAAAACCTAGCAAGTTTTCGAAAGATATGTGTGAAGTCCGCCCAGGACATGGCCAGCGTGGTGGACTATGGCCTGACCCCCTCGTATTGGAGGGAGGCCCACCGCCAGCAGTGGGACGTTCAAAAGGGCTGGAATACACAGAGTACTCACTGTGGTGCGAGGGCGGCGGCGGCACGCTGCCGTAGGAGTGGCTGCGCGACAGCTGGTGGCCCAGCATCCTGTGCCCGGCGGCCTCCAGCGACGCGACCGTGTTCGACCGCACCATGCCTGCGTTACGTGTAACATCACTACATAGTATAAAACAAAGTCGCTTCCCGCTGTCGGTCTGTCCCTATGTATGCTTACGTCTTTAAAACTACGCAACGAATTTTGATGTGGTTTTTTTAGGTTTATATATACATATAATACATTCATATTATAGTACAGAAAAGCCGAGAAAGTCAAAGATTTGTATTTGATACTAACCGTTAAAACATACCTAGGGACAACCCGAGCGAAGCGAGAGCGAGTCGCTAGTTAAATATAATAAAAATTATTATAAAATAGTTCAATTAGGTTAAATATAGATAGGAAAAGGCAAAACAGTTCAGTATTTTTTCTCCTCTGTTTGTCAACCAATTTTCTTTTTCTTTTTTTGTGTGTAGCTATTGACAAGTTTTAGTGTTATCAATTTTTTTTCTCAAAGTTCGCCATCTTATGAAAATCTTTCTTTATCATATTACAATAAACACAAAGATAAAAGAATAACCTTTAGAACCCCAAGATAGGAATATGACGAAAAATTTCGTAATATTTTCATGCTACTTAAAATAATATCACATAGCCTGGACTTCAGATACATTTAGATAGAGAACTCACCAATCTGTGGTCTCCAGTTTCTATTTTCCTCATGGGACAGGTTCCCTGGCTTCAACACCCTGGGCGCCTCCACGGCACCGCGCAGCCTCCTCGCGGGGAAGATGAACTCCTCCGGGTACTGAGGGTCTTGGAACCTGACGCAGATGACCCGGTTGTCCAGGACCGGGCGGAGACCGATCACTGGTGATGCTAGTTGACTATGGACAATGTTTTTTTATTAATTAAGTAAATTAATCCATACTAATATTATAAATTTTGTGAGTGTGGATGAATGTTTGTTACTCTTTCACACCAAAACGGCTTAGAGGATCTGGATGAAATTTGGCACAGAGATAGATTATAGTCTGTAATGACACATAGGCTACTTTTTATCTCGGAAAAAAGTACGGTTCCCGTAGGATAGATTTGTTTGTGTTTTTCTAGAGGCGAACCCAAGCGAGCGAGGGCGAGCCTCTAGTGGGTATATAATTTGAACATTAATATTTCAAGTATATTAGCCTCTTACCGGACAAATCCTTCTGTATTTTTTGTATCTCAACGGAATTACACACAGATTACAAAACGATACTAGTAAATATACAACATCCCATAAAAAAATTTGAACTGTTTTAATTAAATTGGAGTTATGTTTTGGAGGTGCTTTCTTAGATGGCGTTGATTCGCATTCTCATGTGTCGCATGAAATATAAGTAGCGCCATCTATGCATACGCAGTATAAACTATATTATTATAAGCCGCAGCCGAAGAATTTTTCTTTTGAGATTCATTTTTAATTTATTAATTTAAATATTAATAAAAATTTATATATCGCCATATATTGAAATTAACATATTTTTCACACTTTTAATACTATGATACTAGCGCAGTATACTAATCCATAGTCGTTTAACGAATGTCTATAGACAGGGCAATCGTGTGGAGCGTGCGGGAAGGAGATGAGGGGGAGGCGAGGGGGAGGCGAGGGGGAGGCGAGGGGGAGGCGAGGTGAGGTGAAGCGAGATAAAGCGAGGGGGAGGAGACGAGGGGGACATGACGAAGGGGAGGCGCACACAACTGATGACAGTTAAGTATGGCGGTAAGTATGAACTTATTTTGATGTAACTATTGGAAAAACGTTTTGGTTCACGATTGTAGTAACTTGCTATGAGACGAATTTAACTTCGAAACCATTCCCCATGAAAATTTGTTTTATTTACAAATCTTGCATTTGAATTTTATATATATGTTATCTTATAATATTAGGGTATATTTAATTTTATTTCGTGTATATCGAAGGGGTCTAACAATTTGGATTAAATTTTGTATTTAAATAAGGTTTTTCTTTTTAAAAACATTAATTTTTTTTTACATTTTTTGCATAAAAAATTTAAGTAATAGTATAAAAAATGATTTAAAAGACAAAAAAAAGTGCATATTACAAGACTTCCGCAATACCATTCAGACAGAGACAATAGCATTCCCAAGGAGTGTTAACGTCAGGCAGGCGGCCGGTCGTAAAACTTTTGCCAAATCCTTTCAGCAGTACAGAGGATGTACTACGCTGACCCCAAGTGATTGGGAAAAGGAAGATTTTGCTTTTTAAGTCTATACAATAAGTAGCTAGTCAGTCTCTTTTCTGAAAATAGCCCAATTTATATGTTTTCCGAAAAAAACACTTTTTTACAAAAAAAACGGTCCCTTAAGTACTAAAATATATATAAAAGTCCTACCCCCCAATGCACACATTGTCGGCACTGAGCATAACGTCGCCACGAACGCCCTCACAACGGAATGGGTACCGCTGTTCGTTCTCTATTAACTTCCTCAAATCTGCCCCCGCTTCTTGGTACAACGCTTGCAGGAACTCGTAGCTCTTGTTGGCCGGCGCTACGTAGAGACGATCGTGGCCTTTTATATTACGCTGTACTGTGGACAAATATTGTGTATATTATTTATCTGTAAACTTATATAAATAATTATAGATTTAAAAAAAACTTACAATAAAACTATCTTTTTTATTTATTTAGATTTTTCACAGAAGAACATCCGAAAAGATAATTTTATTTAAAATATCAAATATTCGCATAAATCAAAGTATTAAAAACTTCCAAATCCTGCTTGGGACTGGAATGAATTTTCAAATCAATGTGACAATTAGAAAGTGATTAAAATTAAAATTTAAAATCGCATTATTTCAATCATTGTTTTAGCTTTTCCATTGTATGTGACATTGGCAAAGTAATCTGTGCTCAACTGGCACACTTTGAAGCCATTAACAGCAAAATTGAATTGAATTGAGGATAGCCAATACTTAAACTATTTTTATATTTATTTACAGACTTTTTATTAAAACTAGGTCTATTATATTATACATTTTTTCTTATTTTACAATCAATACTTACTTTCGGCCTGTGTCAAATCTTTATAATATGGTTCGAGAGCCTTAAACAATCTGGCTTCATCTACAAATGGCAGCAGAGCTACACCCTGCCAAGCAAACTTCTTGCCGTTCAGGTCGATCTTGAAGTCCGTGGGATAGAAGTCGATAATTGGAGAGAACTGCAGAAAAAATAAAATTATAGCAACCTTTTTACTTTGAATAAATACAAATTAAAATTATCCATATACAAGACTTTTAATTAAAATTAGTTAATTTATCGCTTAAATTGCTTAATATTTAAAATAACACATTTTTTATGCTTTTTTAGGCTTTTTACTTATACTCGAAGTTGTAAATCAACATTTAAACTAACCTATTATTTTGACAATTAACACAAATAGTGACAAAGATAAATTTGTACATGAAATATTTTTTTAAATAATAACTTAACATATTGTGTACCGAATATAGACCTCGATACATATATACAAAACAATATATTAAAAAATTGTAGGTCTTATATAAGACCTACAGAAAAATCCATAATAGCATGTGTATATGCCTATGGGAGGCCTTTATTCAGCAGTGGATGGCAATAGGGCGATGTATACGTACCGGGTCGCTCATGAGCTGCGCCCACGGCCGCGGCACGTGCTGCGCGCTGGCGGCAGGGAACACGCCCATCAGCTGCTCCAGGGGGCGGAACTGGAATAGTGTTTTATTATAAAAAATATGTTGGGACATTAACACACAGCACCATCTAGTTCCACAGTGAGCTAAGAGTCATGTGGTATAGATACCAGATAGTTGATACATTACACATATATTATAACTTTAAATACATACATATTATAAATATACTGAGCCAAATAAGTCGTCAAATTATATAACTACGGTGTCCTTAGCCTGTGTTTTGATTAACTTTGACGTTTGGGTGAAGTTTTTATTTATTTTGATTAAATTTAACATATTTTTTTTAAAAATGGTCCAACCAAGGTTTAAGGTTTAAGATTTTAAATCAGACTTAGAAAAAGTGATTGTCGATATGAAGTTCAAATTTCAACATTTTCTTTTTCATTGGTGAAGTAATCTGTGCTCAACTGGCACGCTTTGTAACCATTGACAAAATAATAGAATTGATATATTTTTTTTGTTTATTTTAATTTATACAAAGTTCTAGAGAAAGTTACCTTATTAATTACTAACTAAACAAAATATAAAACACAAAAAAAAGACTTCTGAGTAATATTATAAATGAGACGACATGATGTTTTTTGCATATAGATATAAATAGAAAAGTATTATTTATATCCCAGTCTCGGGACACTTTATCCCACTTCAATTAATTCACGTAGAATACATGAGTATATTATAAAATCACAACTCACAGGCTGCGTGCCCTTCTCGAACTTGGTGGACAGTCCCTGTATGTTGACGAAGTCGGAGGCGAATGGCGCGTAGTGGTAGGGGAAGTACCACTTCCAGCTGGCGCAGCCCTGGTAGTAGTAGCGCAGCACCCAGCACAGGCCGCGCACGTACTGCAGCGCCACGCGGTATCTGGGGAATGGAGTGTTGTTAGCTTAATAACTGATTCGACAGAGGTGATCCTGATCTAAGTTTCTTTTGATTTTTTCACAAAGATCATATAATAACTAAAAATAATATCTGTCGCTCCTTCTCTCTAATTTACTTAAGACTTGAGGGTTTATACATATACATACACCAAAACACCAAACCACACTTGCCAAATCGTTCTCAGCTTACTTACAAAAATATTTAAAAAAAAACTAATATGTACCAATAATTTATCTCACCAACAGTTTGTATCTAATCTTAATATCTAACTTTAATCATGTTCTCATACCATGTCTCTATAAAACACTTCATCATTACTAATCTCATCACATCTCACCTAAACTCCAAATTGTCTCTGGCCACCTCGAACTTGCTCTCATAGTAGCGTTCCTTGAAGCCGTCCTCCCAGAGACGCACCTCATCGTGCTTCTCGTCATCATCATCGTCGAGCCCCGCCTCGGCCGCGGACCGCTTTCTGCCACGTTGATCTCTTCCTGCTTCTTGCTGTGACGAATAGGGAAAATATATAAAAATAAAAATCAAAACATACTTTATTCAAATAGACTTTTACAAGCTCTTTTGAATCGTCAATTATTATTTTAAATTTAAATTATATTTTAAATTTAAATTAAATGTCAGTGTAGTCAGTCCGTGAGCAATCTACTACCAGCTCGGCCAAGCCAATCTATACTAATATTATCAAGAGCCAGAGTTGGTTTGTTTTATTGAACGCACTAATCTCAGAACTATAAATCCGATTTGAAAAATTCTTTTTGCATTAGATAGTCCGTTTATTAGACGAAGGCTATAGACTATATATCATATAATATATAGTCTATCTATTCCATAGTAACCGTATAATGTACCCAGTATATAATAAATATATTAAAGCCGCCACCACTATTCAAACAATGCATGTTTCTACTATGTTCATTAATTATTAAAAATATGTATTGTATACACACATATCCTCTTTAATAATTGTGTTATTTTTACTTACCTATAATACATTTATTATAGATATTTATCTAAAAATACAAAGTAAATTTGATTTATAAAATTAACATATCCATTCTATTTCTAACATTTAAATTTCGAAATCACAATGCATAGGACTAAGTGGTCTATAATTCTTCCCAAGGATAAATAATGTAAATTCTTAATTTCCCACTCACCGCAGCGACAGCCTGCATACCAGCTAAACGTATATTGGCGGCTTCCTGACGCGCATTCTCTACTGACTTCGAGGCAGCACCCAATGGCTATAAAATATATATATATATATATATATATATATATATATAAATATAAAATAAACTGTACACTACACGGACTAAAAAAACTGGTTTGTTAAAACATAGTTTATATACCAGGATCAGACCAAGGGATAATATAGACAGAAAACTAAACATGAAACCAAATATTAATAATCATCACTGTGATAAGAAAATAAATTTAAATAAAATTTAGCCCATATAATCAACCTCTTTCAATGGAAAGAGAACTTAAAAATACAAAAAAATATATAGAACTATTTTTTATATTAATTATTATTATTCAAAATTTCTTCTCAAAAATTGTTAATTAACAACCAATAATATATTATAATAAAATGTCTCTTACTCTTTAAAGAAAGTAAACGATCTATATGGCAAAATTGAGAATACTAGCATTTACTTCCATCAATCAAAAAAGTACTAGATACACAATCAGCAACAAAAAATGTCCTCACTGAACGAGCATTCTATTGAACATTTGAGTGCACTATTAATTATTATTTTTTTAAAACTACTTTAAGCATTGCATTTAAGGTTCAATTTACACTAGAATAATTACCTAAACACAATTGGTGACGGTTTTAAGAGTATTATCGAGTACTTTTTTGATCGATGAGTTACTTTTATTTTATTGGGACAACTTCCTTTGTAGGTACAATTATGTAGCATATTGGGTTGTTTTTCTTACCATTGGAGCAAATTGTGTTCTTTCCAACAATTCAAAATTGATTTTTTGTTGTTTTTTAGCTTTTTCGCGCGCTTTGAAGCTGACTTCATTTTGATGTCTCCGCCTAAAGATTTCATCTTCCATACGACCAAGCTCATCCATAATGACTTGAACCCTGTCAAGGTTCACATCTCCAGAATCTGTTATCCATCCCTAAAAATTTAAATTATATAAACATGTTATATATATATAAATATATATATATATATATACAATATTAATAAGATAAATAGCATACAATTTGTAATATAATTTTATAATTAATCCATACAGATAAATAAAATTGAAGTGTCTATTTGTAATGTCAATATAATAGCTAACTAAATGCTTATGAAATTATATATGGTACTTATAACAAAAACACAATTTTTAACATTTTTGTTTATTTATCTGTCTGTCTATTTGTTCTGGCTACTCTCTGAAACGGCTAGACAGATTTTGACGGGACTTAAATATATATAAATAGTTTCTATATCAATAGACAAAATAAACTTACCCTAGTTTTATAGACGCACTTCTTATATAAATTGACAAGCCGGTCGACCGCTCCCTCCCTGATCTCCAGACTGGGTAAATGTGGTAAGAAGTCATTACCCACGAAGAAACACATAAACACCCAGTCATCTAATGCACGTTCAAAATCATAGTTGAACGGTAAATTCGGCATTTGTAACTCCTACGAATAAAGAAACAATATTTACTGTACTGTAAGAAAAAATATCACATTACAACTACAAATATGAAAGTTAATATGTATGTTTGTTACATCTACAATCTGTAACAGGTCCACAGATATGGTAAAAAAAATATACTTCCATTATACTTTTGTAATATGAGCAGATAAAAGATTATACATATATAGTATACGTAGTACTTACTTTTTCGAGGTACTCCCGCAACACACTCAGTCTCACAAATATAAAACTATCCTGGTTCCCAAAAGCTGGATCTGATCGAACCAATGCTGCATCAGGGGTTGTGCCTGTACACTCTTTCATCTCATGTCCTGTTATCGTTTAACAATAAATTATTTTAGTTGCCTCAATTATTTTTAAAACTAATTGACTATAAGGTCACTCATATTGAAACAACTTTTTATATAAAATGGCTGAAAAAGTTATCAAAACTTCTACTACCTATTTGGTTTAACTACTGAAATAAATAAGAACATAATTTATTACTCAACAATAATATGGCTTTCTCATTTCTCTCCTTATTTATTAAACAATTTTCAAAGTTTAATAAATACTTCACAGCTTGTTACTTCTTTTTCTTTATGACTACACATTTGGTCAGTTTGTAGTGACCCTACTTGCTACCAGATCGCGGGATCGAGTCCCGCTGGGGGCATTCAGTGTGATGAGCATAAATGTTTGACTCCAGTCATGGGTGTTTATATTTATAATATGTATGTACTTAAAAGTTATAAATGTTTAGCGTATCAACTATCTGGTATCCATATCACAAGCCTCGTAGCTTACCATGGAACTAAATGGTGTGTGTTAATGTCCCAATATATTTATTTACTTATTCTTTCATCATAATGACTGTAAATTTATTTATTGATAATGGACTATTTATTGTATAAAAGTGAGTATGCTTTTTAGTCCTTTACATTAAAATAGCTAAATAGATTTGGATGAAATTTTGTACAAATAAGCTATAATTGGAATTAACATATAGGCTACTGTTAGGTACCTAAAGACGCAACTGAAGGTAAGTAGCTACTAGCTAATATAAAATAAAAAAATATGTCATACCTGTCTGTCCACAGACATCACAAGGTCTGGGTTTATTAGGCTTAAATTCCTCCCTAATAATAGTGAAGTTAGGTTCATGTGTTGCAAGCCCCAACATAATCAGATCTGCATCAGCTCCACATAGTACATGTTGGGTGTTTGGGTCATGATCTGGTTGAGCTGGAAAAAAATACCAAGTAAATAAACTAAACATCAAAGTACCAAAATACTTAGAGGTGCATTAATAACCCTAATTACATTATTAAAATAAATATGAATAAATTACAATCTTTTACTGGATATTTAGCAAAAAATGCCTATTTAAACAAAAAATATGCAATAAAATAACATATTTTACATACATATATATACATACATACATATACATATATATACATATTTTATATAAAACTATTACAAACCCCTCTGTCTTCTAATGTAGTCCATAATCTTATGCTCTCCTTCACCCGGGACATTGGCATCTGATAGTATTACTTTGATTCCTTTCCAACCAGGATCATTGTTCAATCTATAAAATTGAATTGTTGCCGTGTTGAATTACTCACTTTTACTTTAGAATTTTATGCGGATTAAGTTTCATGATGTCAATATTATTAGATACTTGTGACCCAGCACATTCACAGTAGTTGTTTGTTAAAAATTATTATATAATTATATAACATTGTGTTCATAAACATTTAAATACAGGTGTTTTTACATAGAAATACTACATATAATCAACAGGATCCATTACAAATCATTTACAAAATATTTCATCCCCATAGGGTTAGAGAGTTAAATAAATATGCTCATGCCAAATCTACAAATGATTCAGACACACCATTTCTTATGTTCTATACTAAAATATTTATAAAAATTATTGTAAGCTTTGTTAGTTAACATTAAAATAATGTTGACTGATTCCAGCCACGGCGGCCTATCTCATTGAGACTAGCCAACTGTGCAGGAGATATTATAGTGCACAAGTGCACTCTCTATTCTTGTTACTCTCATACTCTCATTACGTGCTTTCCAAGGCACGGGGGTGGAACCACCGAGGCATCCAATTAACATAATACACACTGAGCAAAAGTTTGTCACATATTTAAGAAAGATATATAAAATCGATATATGTACCTGTCATGTATATAATAATGTAAGCATTTACTCAATCTGTCCATGAAAGGTGTACCAGGTGTAATACAGTTGGAATCAAAATGAGCTTCCTTAGGCCTCTCAGGTGGCAGATATGCTCCTTTAGCTTGCAATTCAGACCGAATACGGGCAATTTCCTCAATCTTTTCCTGAGTTTCTTTAGATGCTCTAAATCTTCTTGACCTTTGTTGGTTCATTTTAGCTCTAGGAGCCTAACAAATAAAAAATGTTTATCAGCTTTTTAAGAAATTAACAGCACACAGAATATATACATATTAAGCTTTGTATTTTTGAATTTTATGAAAACAATATAAACTCACAACACCATCAATAGCCATGTACAACAACTTCCTAGGCCTCACGATACGGAACAATCGGTCAATGCACTCGAAGATGGCGACCATCATCTCGTCCTCATCCTTAGGAGGTGGTTTATCCTCAGGATGCGTACATGGATGGATGATGCCGTTCATGTCCAAATACAAATTGTCGAACTCCACACCATTTGGGTTTGGTAGGGACGAATCTACGTAAACGAGTTGGCCATCTACGTCGGTTGGCTAAAAATAAGCGTTAACAATGATTATTACTGTTATTTTATAAGTTATAACTCAACAAGTATGAAGTAACACTTTTAGGTTAAAAAATTTACCCTTTGTTCAACACATTCGACAATAACGCTGCTGTACTTGCGGCTCAGCCAACGAAAGAACGCTGGTACTCCCATTTTACAAACTTAATGTAAATGTTGATTTGTTTTCAGTATATTATCAATAATTTATATTGTCACGTATTCAACAAAAACAAATCGACGCAGGTGCCATCTTCAACCACAGATTAAAAGAGATGCACAGATTAAGGAGACTACAAGACTTCCAGACTCCAGTTGCCACAAGGCACACTCTGTTTTCCAATTAGAGTACTAAAGCGCATTATGCGGCATAATGCTAACTTTGGATGTTCCAACTACAGCAACGCTCCGCTCAATTGAGTATTTGGCGTAATGTGTGTAAGTATACCAATTTAATAGTAAAAAAATAAGAGAAGTGTTATTTCTTCAAGGTGGCCTTGATTATAATTTTATTTACATTATCGTTAGTAATATTTGTTTATATTTTATTTATTTAATTATATATTAATTAGTTATATATTATTATATATCTATACTAATATTATAAATAGGTAAAGTTTGTGAGTTTGTGACGTTGTAGGGGGTAATCTCTGGATTTACTGAACCGATTTAGATGAAATTTGGTAAAAAGATAATTTGAGACCTTGGGAAGGACATAGGATAGTTTTTATCCCGAAAAGCATCCCTTAAAGGGGTAAAAATAGGGATTCAAGTTTGTATTGGGAAGCAAGCTAGGGACGAACCCGAAAGAAGCGAGGGTGAGTCGCTAGTTTATTATATAATATATCATAACGATGATATATATTATTATATATTATAAACATATTAGTTAGATAATTAGATTTGTTCTTTCAATACTGGACCTAGTGCCCTCTTCTGGTGCACTTGAAAACTAATTCACGTTCCAATTAAGTATTAGGCATTAGCACACTATGGCATTGTGCGCCAAAATACGGCATTATGCTCTGTAATTGGAAAACAGGGAAAAACTTTAAAGTTATTCAATAATGACTATTGACTAATGATGCGCGGCTATAAATTACTCCAGTCAAATTATTCGAATAAATAAATTATTCGACTCATTCGAATGAATTACGAAGCTTAGTACAGAGTATGTAACTCTCTCTAGGAAATTGGAATTTGGATTGTTATCAAGGTGTAAAAGTAACGACAAATAGCGTACCCGTATGCATTCGTTACTATAGCATCAGTACTCGTTACTTTTGAATCGTTACTCGTTACTTTTGATACCCGATAACATACTCGTAGAGCATCGTATCGAGTCGTGTTGCGTATGTATTGCGTACGGTATAAATTATACGATATACCGTATATCGTTGACGTCGCGTTGTTTTCTGTGGAATAATGCACGATCAACAAACCATTTCAATTGGAGAGTTACATGATATCCAGAACCCGTAAATTTTGATTATTTATAAATCTATATAATTTTTAAAAACTTTACTAACAATATTTTTTTATTAATAATTTTTGAAATTAAATAATAAATATAAAAATAGGTAATTTAAAAATGAATAAGTAACGGCATCTATCACGTTAGTGTGACGTCGTAATGCATATTTTATTTAAAATCAATTGCGCGAATGATTTATCAAATCATAATCTGTATGTATTACACATAATCACATGATCATGTCTCACGTAGGATAAATAGATAATTATTGTGTTACAATATTGTACACAATTATTATTTTAAAAGAGCCGTTGTTGAGTTTCTCGCCGGTTCTTCTCAGCAGAAAACTTTATTCCGAGCCGGCGGTAGTTCCTAACGGACTAACATTTAATTTTAATTTAAAATGTAAAATTGACGATTTAAAAGAGCTTGTAAAAGTTTATTTGAATAAAGTATATTTTGATTTCATTTGACATAATCATTTAGTAAACATTATAAGTATTTGTTGGATAAAAAACTAAAAATGTGTTCTAAATATAATGGTTGTTTCTAATTGAAAATTTTTTATAAAAAAATTTACTAAGATCTGGAAATCATGCAACTCGAAATAAATAAATAAACTCTCTAATTTACTCATCAATGGTTTTAAGTATTAACTGAAAGTTGTATTTTGCTGAATAAAAAATCAATAAAAACATTAGTACGAAAATATGTACGGAAAATGCGAGTAACGAAATGCATTCGTGAGTAACGTTTCGGTACTCGGTACTAGATGGCGTACCCGTTACTCAGTAACGAATACATACGGTTTGCTACAGCTCTAGATTGTTATAACTTATGTTATTTTATTTGTCATCCATGGTTATTGGTTATGTTAAGTTGATAATTTTGAACTTGGGATATGAAGAGTTTTAGCGTAGTAAATTATTACAGAAAATTCCTGAAAAATGTCCACATACGCCAATATAGCAGCTCGGAAAGCAATCGAGAGAAAAATGGCATCAATAAAATCCGAAATATAGGCATCTTAGCTCATATTGACGCGGGTTAGGTTATATCATAATTTATTTTATTTGTCGTCTATTAATTATATTTATTTCCGTCATATTGCTAAGAATAATTTGCCAAAACTTATGTATTCTTAAGTCTGTGAGTTCGTCTGGTGTAAAAAAAACTATTTAATTTTATTCAAGGTAAAACCACTACTACAGAGCGTATGCTCTTTTATTCTGGTACAATTCGTTCTATGGGAGAAGTGCATCATGGAAACACTGTTACTGATTATATGGAACAAGAACGACAGCGAGGAATCACAATTACATGTATGTTGTTGTTATATCATTAATTTATTTATTTACTATTGTGTTTCCAAAATTTAAAATGTTTAAATTTGTATTTGTTATAGCTGCGGCTGTATCGTTTCCATGGCGTGGATACCAAATAAATCTTATAGATACTCCTGGGCACATAGACTTCACGATGGAAGTGGAACAAAGTCTGTCAGTCTTAGATGGAGCTGTTGTGGTGTTAGATGGATCTGCAGGTATAAACTTATTTCAATTGTGTTAGATATCTAAATTAGTTAGATATACAAAAAAAAATTGAATTAAAAAACTTTGAATAATTATTATTTTATACTAGCGGCTCACCTCTAGGAAAACAAAAACGAACCTATTTAACGGGAACCGTACATTTTCCGGGATAAAAAGTAAGCTATGTGTTATTCCAGACTATATCTTTGTGCCAAATTTCATCCAGATCCGTTCAGCCATTCTGGCGTGAAAGAGTAACAAAGATCCATACATACTCACAAACTTTCTCATTTTTAATATTAATAATATGGTTATTATGGTTACTTATAAAATTACAACAGCATTTTCAAAATACAATATATGTACTATAATACATTAAATAATAAAAAAAATACAGTGGAATCTGTTTATTATAACGCCGGCTATATTGACCAACTGTTCAATATGACGCAATTACGCGCGAAGTTTGGTTTCCATATTTATTTATTTATTTATTTAGAATTACCAACAAAAGTTACAATAATAAATTACATATAATTTTGTTACTATAGAAACATGATGATTGCACTTTTAATTAGAGGTAATTACAGCATGCTATTAAATTAGTACAACATTAACATCTTAAAGGACAATAAAAATATATACAATTACACACAGTTAATAAATTTTTGTACAAATAAAATAGAACAATTAATTAAAAATTAAATATACTATAGATTAAATTGTGAATTTATTATATTACATATAGGGTGATACGATGAATGGATTTATATAATTGAGGAATAAAGAAAGAGTATGAAAAATTCATTACATTCCATTCAATTAAGTATACTCAAAATTTTATTTTTAAAACTACCGGGGCTATCATGCAAGATGTCAATTCCCTTTTTTAACGATATATCATTGTATGTGCGTGCTAACCTATTTAGAGGCGTATTTTTGCCTAAGATGGTCCTATGCCTCTTAGTACGAAAGAGAGGGGCATGTTTCCTTGGAATCCTTACGGGTATGTTAAAGTCGATTAAAGCGAGCAACGGCGGGCAATCAATTGCATTATTTAAAACTTTATGTAAAAACATCATATCCAGTACCTTACGTCGCGACTGTAACGAGAGTAGACCCAAAGATTGCAATTTGTTTTCATAACTACAATATGACTGAGGTATTTTAAAGTGGTATGTCATAAATTTTACGAATCTTTTTTGTATTTTCTCAATTCTGTTTACATGAACACTGTAATGAGGTGACCAGACTACAGAGCAATACTCCAGCTTACTTCTCACAAAGCAATTAAAGAGTGTTATAACAGTTGAGATTTTTTTAAACTCTCTTGCATTTCTAAGAACAAACCCCAATGATTTGAGCGCAGCACTCGCTATACGCTCAATGTGAGCAGCAAATTGTAATTTGGAGTCCAAAAAGACACCCAGATCACGAATAACGTCAACTTTACAAATAGGAGCACCAGATATATAATATTCGCTTTTTATCTTATGTTTTTTTCGTGTGAACTGAATATGATAGCACTTTTTCGCATTCAAATACATATTATTGTTATTGCACCAATTACATAGTTCGTCCAAATCTTTCTGCAGACACATGACGTCTGAGTACGTTTTAATCTTGCGTATCAATTTAAGATCATCTGCGTACATAAAGACTTTAGAATATTTAAATATAGACGCAATACTATTAATAAAAACGTTAAAAAAGACAGGACCCAGAATTGATCCCTGAGGAACTCCAGAATATGCAGTAAACGAGTTAGATTGGTGTCCATCAATTACGACACTGGATGATCTCAAAAGGAGATAAGACCTACACCAACTTAACAAATTACCAGTTATACCAAGGGACTCCAATTGTTTGATTAATAATGTGTGGTTAACTTTGTCAAAAGCCTTTGAAAAGTCAGTATAAATGGCGTCAATTTGATCACCTTCATCTACTACTTTTATAATTTCATTGACATAAGTGATGAGATTTGTATTAGTGGATCTGCCAGATATAAATCCATGTTGAGATTCGATGATATTAGGTTTAACTTTAGCAAATATTAATTGGTACACAATACTCTCAAAGACTTTTGACATAGCTGATAAAATCGAAATCGGGCGATAGTTTTCAACTACGGAGGGGTTTTCACCTTTAAGCACAGGCACTATTCTAGCCTCCTTCCATTTTGCCGGAAAAACTCCAGTTCGCAAGGATGCATTATAAATTAAGTATAGGGGAAAAGATAATTCTTTGGCACATTGGAAGATAAAGAAAGGATGAATATTATCAGGGCCCGGACTTTTCGAGGTATCAAGTCTTTTTAGCTTCTTCTCTACATCACTTTGTGACAAAAAAATATTTCCCACGTACGGTTTCGGTACTGACGCAGTATCACTATCAGTACTAATGTCCTTCTCATAAACAGATGAGAAATGCTTGGAGAACAAGTTCGAAATGTCTCTCTTATTGGTTGCCTTTAAATCGTTTAGGTACATGGATGTGGGATATGAGCTACTCTTTTTTCGGATGTTTTTCATATGTGTCCAAAAATATTTAGGATTTCTAGATATTTCGTTTTCAATAAGAGTGATATAGTTGCTATAGCATTTATTTATAAGAGCATCACAGTCTTTTCTTAAGTACTGAAATTCCAGTCTATCCAAGGGATTGTCAAAACGTTTTATCTTAACGTGGTATTTATATTTTTTCTTTATTATACTTATAAGATTTTTAGTAAACCAGATAGGATATGATTTTCGAGATTTTGGCGTTTTAGGTACATATTTTTGGATAATATCGGATAGTATAATATAGAACCGGTTAATCATTTCGTTAACATTATCAAGACAGTATCTGAATTCTGTGAGCCAGTCAACATTATCAAGCGCTGCTATAATGCTTTTATAGTCCGCTTTAAAAAAATTATAAATATTTTTAGAGGTATTAACTTCATTAGGTTCTCTCAATTCTATATTGATTGATATATCTAGAGGAGGATGATATGAGTCAACTTTACGTATTGGTGTCTGGCATTCACAAACTTTTATTACGTTACTATTACTTAAGATTAGATCCAATATATTGCCTTTTATATTTTTAATTTTGTTGCACTGATATAAGCTATTGAAGTTGACAAAGTCCAGTAACAAATTATTTAAAGGTGAGCTATTACTAGAGTGGGATTCATGACCAGTAGGGCTAAACCAGGGAATGCTTGGCAGATTAAAATCACCCAATATTATGGTTGTGCAAAAGTCATCGTGAGTAGAAATAACTCTACTGACATTTTCGGTAAACATTTCTAAAGTATTTAGATCTACGGGGGGAGGAAGATAAACCACACATATGTGTAATGTTTTAAGATATTTTCCTAAGTTTAATTCGACCGATACCCAAAGATCCTCCAGATCACTTTGCCAATCAAGACGACGACGCGAGACTAAGCTTTTTGAGATGCCGATCAAAACACCACCACCTATTTTTTTATGCGAGGACAATTGACTTGTTTCACGATCACGCCGAAAAATTAAGTATCTATCATCGAGTATCTCGGAGTCAAATACAGTACTATTTAGCCAGGTCTCAGTTAGGAAAATAAAATCATAATCACAATTTAATACCTTACGGCGCACATCTTGCATGTTAGTGTTTAAACCCCTGACATTTTGGTAGTAACAAGTTAACATTGAGAATTTGGACAAATAAGTTTGATACATGCATTCACACTACCGTTTAAAATTACTGCAAAGATTTAAGTGAGTCTATATTTTTCACATAAATATATTCAGATTTTTCTGTTTTACGTATGAACACACGGCCGTTTTTGACCCATACATAGCGATAACCAAGCTTTTTACATTTTAAACGAGCTTCCGCATGTAAAGCTTTTATGACCGGAGATAGATGTTCGCATACATAAATAGGCTTCTTATCTCCACTTATTCCAAGATGGCTTGTGTTTAACTTGTCCTTATTGGTTGCCGATTTCTTATTAAAAGACAGAACAGCTGCTAGAAAAGTATCTCGTATTCTGGAATTGGTGAATTTAACTAAAACAGACCGAGGACGCGGACTGTCTTTATTCATCTTCATTATCCTTGCACAACTTTGTATATCATGATCGTTTATATTACATTTAACATTCGATGCAATCTGCTTAACTGTCGTCACTAAGTTTTCGTTTTTAAATTCTGGTACACAATGAATCTCAACGTTGCATGCTCGGGACTGCTGTTCAAGTAGGGATAATCTCGATTGGAGATCTGTTACTGAGGTACGTAGTGTTTTATTTTCATGTTCTAGATTGTGTATCTTTTCTATTTTATTATTCAATTCAAGCTTAACGTTCTCGTACTTTTCTTCAAGAAATCCAATTGACGTGTTGATTGAGGACATATTATCTAGAACTATCTTTAATTTATCATCTATTTGGTTTATAATATTAGTTTTGAAGGCATCTAAAACAGCCGTTAACTCCTGTCTCATCATATTTCTGATTTCCGCTAATGATTCACTACTCAGTATATCATTCTTGTGTTGTTTCTCAGTTGTTATATTAGTGACAACTTGTAAATTGTCGATCTTTTTATCATTGCTTTGGCAAGAAACATTTCTGACCGGTGTGTTGGTGTTATCTGTTTTAGGTCTGGAGCACGCAGGACAGAGCCAGTTGCTTTTGTATTCATCAGATAACTCATTAAACAAAGTTTTAGCGGTAGTTATACATGCATAATGATATTTTTTTTTACAATCATGACATTTGACTACTTCTTTGGAATTAGGTTGCCGTAAGCAACATTCTAATTTATTTTTAGACATGTTTTCAATTTACTTCAATTTTAACAACTTCAATGATCTCTTAACACAAATCGCACGCTTAATCATATACTGACATAACTCAAAAAAGACGTTTTTCGGGAAATCGCGAAAAACAATTTAGCAAGCCTGACTTACCTTACAAAAGGGAATATAATACTCAAAGAAAATAGCTTTATATAATGAAATAATGTATTGTAGATATAGTTGATAAAGTGAGTATTAATGTTTGGATATAATTTTAAATAAATTTAGATTTTTTACTATAAATTAATCGGTTAAAAAAATTGTTCCTCAAGATGCGTCAGTTTAATATAAAAGATAAAGTTACATTGAATTAATAGTGGTGACACATTTTGAAATGAGTCCGTGTTTTATTTAATATATAACTAAATAATACTCAATATTAAGGTATGGGTCTTTATACTATGAAGTAAAATTTTAATACTGGTGACATATTTAGAAATGAGTCCGTATTTTATTCAATGTATGTTCTTATTGTTATGATATGAGTCTATAAGGTATATAAAATAAAAAATAAGTATAAAAAATATTTCGTTTTATTTATTATTTTCATTAATAAAAAGAATCAAAAACATAGTAAAGTTCAAATAAAATGCTGACCTGTGTCTTAAACATCGAATTGAACTTAATCCTAGTACAATATTCAAATACCTAATCACAGTACACAATTTGTATATAATAGGTAGGCACTTTAAAATCAACTCTGAAAGAGTCTTTGACTCCTAATAATGTAATTTATAAACTTAATAAAATAAAGCAGTAAAAACTTATCCTAGGTTATAATATTAACGAATTAAACTTAACGAAGAGATCAATATTAAATTTACAATATTAGGAACCAGTTTTTATTTATAATCTAAAAACAAACCGTAAATCTGAATAAAAATTCTCAAGGAAATATCAACAGTCACACTTATCATCTATTTAACAACACGATAATACCTAATTGTATTTATTTATTAATTAAGAGATCAATTTTCTCAATATTAGGCACTTAATCAGTCATTACAAGACTAAACTTAACATACAAAATATTTTTATCACCTTGCAAGTATTCACCCTGATTACAGAATCGTATCATAAAAATCTTTATAAAAATTGGGTATCAATTTTTTATCAAGTAACTCTTTTAAATCCTTCTTTTTATTTTCACCGAGCTTTTGTTTGCCTGTGTATGCTTTTACTGTTGTCAGCTCTGATAGGGGATTCAATTTTTTTCTCTTGTTTCTTATGTTTATCTTTGCAAATTCTGCATCTTTGTTGTATGATGTTTTCACATAGAATGAAAAAGGTTCACTTTTTATTACATTTATAACTTTGATATCATTCCATGATAAAACATTTTTATCTTCAGTTTCATTAAAATTGTATCCCCAATCTTCTTGCAGTTTTTTTAGATCTAAAAATGATTCGTATGTAAGTTCGTGTACGCGGAACTTTTGACCAGTCTTTTTGGCATTTTTGATGATGGATACATATTGGTGGGGGCAATAAATTGGTCCTGATTTTAAGTTCTTTTTAATTTCTTTTTCGATCAGGCTATGAATGTTGTCACCCTCATTTTGAGTGTGACCTTTAATTAAAAATTTGTGCGTGATTGATTCTATATTCAGATGGGTTACAGCATAGAGATAAAGCACTACTATGTATTTATTCTTATTTTGACCGCAGCAGTTGTCTGAATACAGAATCAAGTTCAGGCCAGCACTATTACTAGCACTTACCCCTGCTTCACAACATAGTCTCTCAAAGCAATCCAATAAACAGGAGCCTATCTCATTAGCACCGCGTTTGCCATCAGTTTCATTCCAGAAATAGCACTCTACATCAGTATAGGAATCTTTAATCTGGGGTTCAACTTTTTTGTTTAAGAGTGTGATGGTAAAGTTATAACTATTTAATTTAGATTTATAGTAAAAAGCTGATGTATCGCCTCGTGGCGATTGTAACACCGCCTGCAAGTCGAACACTAAGACTTTATTTTTGTCGTCTATTTTGAGACGGTCATCATGTTTTTCATTACGACTTAGCTTTTTTTCTTTTATATGAGCTATATACTTATCATGAATCATACTTTTTTGCTCTGCGTTTGAATTTGTGTACTCTAGACAAAGATCGCATTGGTCTTTTCGCGGAAAAAAAATGAAATATTATATTCCTTAGTAAATGTGCGGTAAAACATGCAATACTTACTATAGGGCTTACTGTTCTTCTCTTGCGCTACCTTGAAGTCATTGAAGAGATCTGTAATAGTTTTGCCCCCGTCTATGTATTCGCGAGTAGATGTTTGCCTTGTGTAGTGTGACGGAACCCTTGGTATTGAGTCTATAAAAGTTTTAATGTCTGAAATCAGTGTTTCATCAGTAGTGGTGTGGTTGTCGTGTTTACCTCTTCGATCATTTTGCAAAACTCCATGGTTTTGACACTTTTGGATTACTGTACGAATAACACGATCGGATATATTCAGCGTACCAACAAAAAATGGTTTACAAACCCGGATTGGTCTACCATTTACTATAAAATGAAAAGCTTTATTAGCTTGCCTCGGGCGCATGGCGTTTGTATATTTATACCTAGGAGTAACATCGGACATACAAGACTGAATAAACGATCGCTGCAGATTGAGTTCACCAATATTCCAATAGGTATCAAAAATAGCCTGTCTTTGAAGAGATGTAAACTTTTCATAACATTTAAGCCTGCACTTGTCTGTACAAGGTGGTTTCACTTCACGAGCCGCAACAGTTTTCTTTTTCGTAGTCTCATAAGATCGTCCAGAATTTCTTAGAATTTTATTTAAGTTTTGTTTCCATTTTTGAGGATTACTTGTGCGCTTTCTACCTTTCTTCTTAATAATCTCTATTTCTTCTTCTATGTTGAGTTCGTTCATTTCAGAGTTTTCAATTTTACTTGTTTCTTGTCCGTTTGTTGACTGTCCATTAGCTGTAGTATCTGTGTTATTGATAGTATTATCATCCACGTGATCGAAAGTAGAAGGTTGTACCACAGTATCATCATCAGAAGATGAAGATGAGGAACTGCTGGAACTGCCGGAGCTGCTTAAACTGGAGGATGAGGATCTGCTGGAGCTAGATGTTGATCGACGTGATGAAGGATGTACTGGTTCTATTTTCTTTTTTTTTATTTGACTATCATAGGTTGGATCGTCATTGTCGCTGATATCTGCACTTATTTCACCAGAATGTACAGGTGAAACATTGTAGTTAACAAAAAAGTCCGTAGCATTGTAATAACGCTGGTTTTCAAGTTTATTAGTAATATCACGTAACATCTGTAAAAAAACAATTTATTGTTTTCTCTTCTTAATCATGCAAGTGTGTATGTATGTAGATAGATAGCTAGACAGGCAGTACATACATAGGTAGTTATAATATAGTCAGCGTCAAAAGTAGATGACGAAATACAAGGTTTAAAAAGACATGATTCATCTAGTATTCACAATTACACCCCCTAAGGGGTACCTAAAATAGAGAATGACAGGAAAACTTAAAGACGCGACGAAGTCGCGTGCGCAATTCTAGTTTAAAATAAAAATACCATATTAAAAAGGGAGAAACCAGTCAAAAGAATAAAATAATAATTACGAGTACTTACCGCGACATCAACTACATCATTCTGAACTGAACTATCTTCATCTATAGGAGATTGACTAGGGTCTGGGTTCAGAATGGGATCTTGAATTTGAGCTTTTGTATCATGAGCAGGTTCAGTTGTAAAATTAATCAATTCCATTATCTTTTTCGACCTTGAAGACATTCTGAAAAAAAGTTAGGTTACTTTCTTATTTCTTTTAAACAAATTATTTTTATCTATAAGTGACACAATATCTAATATGCATTCAACAATTTTATACTAGACAATTGTGTTTTATAAAATAAAGAATCATAACAAAGTACGACTTCAAATTTCAAGAACACTTTTGTAAAAAACTGACCTAATTCCTAAAGCCGACAAAACACTACCGGCAAAACGGAAGTTTTTTATAAAATATAGGCTTAATACACAATCAGTCAAAGAATTGTTAACATGTTTTTGTATAAAACAGAACTAACACTAAATAATTCATGAATAGTTCGATCCTATTTTGTACTAAATAGGCATATTTAACAATTGGTCACATTTTTATAAATAATTTCAATAAAACTTACCTTTGATTTTTACACTAAAGCGACTTAATTACTAATTTGACACTTTTAAATAAAAACACGTGATGTTCGCGATCTTAGTGCTTGACGCATACTGATATTTGTCTCTGTCTCGTAAAAACATTTGCCGAAACGTTTGCGTGTGAAAGAGACAGATATGGGTATAACTCCGCCTAGAAACAAGCTATCATAAAAATTCCGAGATCGGCCGAAAGATGGTGTTAAAATAAACTTCTTGGTATACTTAAATAAATTTTGACCGAAACACTAATCGGTCAGTATATGATTAAGCGTGCGAAATATAGAAAATAAAAATTTGAAGTTTCTTAACTGAGATTAGAACTCTGGTTCAACGCGTGATACGGTCGTTCAGTAACACTGGACCAAAGTCTTCGTTAAAATAATATTGAAAATAGTGCTTTGCATTAAGCTTTAGATTATTCGTAGTACAATGCCGGTAGAATTGAAGAATGTTTATTATAGATCACCGTCACACACTTGACAATTTGATATTACAATACAAATTGGTAATAAAAAGTGCATAGTAATCACATATATGTCCGAATATAGACCTCAATTATAACGTATGAATCACTTATTTCGAACAGTCAATTTTGGGTTTGATCTTGATTTATTTTTGGGTCCTCAGTCCTCACGCCATTTTGTACACCACTACTCGACACTTTTATAAAAACTATTATATTGATATGTTAACTGGTTTTGTCACTAAGATAACAATCACACATAGTTTTGGGGACACATTAACCAATATTAGTTGGTTAATATTGATGACACGGTATTTAATCTATTTTTACAATAAAAAAGTACTGGGAGATATAAAATTATTTACAATAGAGTCTAAAATAATAACTTCACTTATAGTGAAGTATCACATGTCGCTTATTATTACATATTTTTAAGAACTTATCTCCGCTGATAGTGACCAACATGATTTTAATCCAATTTATGTAATGTATGTACATGTGTATTATGTACCATTTTTATCGTTTTTATTACATATGTAATGTTATTACAACGTATGTTTGTTTTGTGTCAGTTCATGTTCTTTTTTTTTATGAAATAGATACATACAATTTGTAGTTTTTCTCTCTATTAAACTAAATACCTAACAAAATTGTTTATTTTCTAAGACTATGCTTTGTATGACGTCTGCTTAATATTACCTGTTTGTCACTTCCCTTCAATGTTATTATAAGTGGTTTCTACTGTATTTGAACAGGTGTAGAAGCCCAAACCTTGACAGTATGGAGACAAGCAAATAACTACAAAGTCCCACGAATCTTATATCTCAATAAGATGGATCGTAATGATGCAGATGCAGCAGCTTGTGCCAGATCTGTTGAAGATAAGCTGCAAGTCACACCACTCTTGTTACATAAACCTATAGTGTATGAAGATAGATTGATAGGTAATTGAGATGTAAAATGAAATGTATTGTGTTTTTTGAGTAGCAAAGATTCATTTTGAATTATAGTTTCTTCTTTTTGAGTACTTCTAACTTAGTTTGATTCATAATCTATGATGTAAATTTAATATACATATATATTTTTTTTAATTATAGGTTTTGATTGATAATTTGTAATTTCAGTTCTTTATTGCAGGACTTATAGACCTCATCACCTTAGAAGAAGTAATTTGGACACAAGGTAGAGGTCAAAATTTTCTACGACGTAAGCTTTCAGAAAAATCTAATGGAAGACAATGGGAATTTGCCATGAATGAACATAGAAAAGTCATAGACACACTGTCCTCTTTAGATGATGACCTGGCAGATATAATAATACAACAAGAATCCTTAGATAATATAGATAATAAAGAAATTGAAAATGCTGTTCGAAGATGTACCATAAACATGAGAGTATTTCCTATTTTGTGTGGAAGTTCATACAAAAACATTGGTGTCCAGACTTTAATAGATGGTGTAATTGCATACTTACCCTCGCCTTTGGAAGGGAGTAAAGTATATAAGTGTTTTGATAATGATCTATCAGCAAAAGTGTTCAAAGTGCAGCATGACGACCAAAGAGGTGTTCTAACGTTCCTTAGGGTGTACAGTGGAGAAATAAATAAAGGACAGAAGATTTATAATTTAGCTAAGGAGAAAAGTGAACAGGTAAAATGTACAGTTTTAACAGTTCAGCCCTTTTTAATGCCCCTCAGCTGGGCACGGGCCTCCCTACAATACGAGGAGAATATACCATATACATATAGTCATATAGTCCACCAGCCATATAGTACACCACACTGGCCAAGTGCGGATTGGGGAACTACACATGTTTTAGCTTTATGTAAAAGCATTAAGTTCGTTATAGCTAAAACCAAGCAAAGTGAGGGATCTTTACTAGTACATGACAATATCTTTCTGATGGTTTTAAAAAAAACTGTTTATTTCGGTAATGTAATGATTAATTTATAGCTCGTTCTTTTACCGGTTAATGAAAACGAACAGTTTAGTAATACGAAATAAACCTGTTAATACATTCAAAAATAAGAAACGTGCATGCATCCTTCTACTAAGCCATTCACCATTAGAAAAGACGAGCCAAATGTAAACTCACTAAAACTCATTTTGACCAGCCAATTTTGGTTATCGAACCTAAATTCGTCAAAAACCGTTCTCCAGGATTTAACCGGTGAAAGAACGTAACCGAAAACCTTTCAGTTTAGGGTCAATTGCAAAAACCGGTTTAAAAATTGAATGGGTTCCGAGCTGTGTTCATAATTGGTTCATAATTTATATTACAATGAGAATGAAATCCAATTAAGTTCCTCTATAACTACTATTATTATGATCATGTTATATAGATATGTATTTGTGTATTTGGTAGAATGTACATATATTATGATATATAGTATGTATAATATTTTATTATATATGTATGTATATATAATATATTTATATAAGTATTTATATTTGAGTGACTGCACTTTAGCCTGCTTTTTGATACTATCTCTCCAACTTACTTAGGTTACCTGGAAGAGATCTCTTCTAGAGATAAGTCCACCTCTGCTAACTAATTTTATTGTATGTTAAATTTCTGTATTTTACATATAAGTGCAATAAGGAATAGTATATAATTTATATAATATAATATAATTTATATAATATCATAATTTTCAGACAGGATTGCTGTATGTGGCGTTGGCTGATGAGTACAAACCTGTAGAGAAAGTGACGGACGGCAATATTGCTGTTGTTAGTGGACTAAAGGTAAAATATAAAATTCTCTCTTGTATGATCTACATGAGAGTCATAATGTGATGAAAATTTTCCTATAAATAAAATATCGCTATATAGTATTGTTCACTTAAGTGTTTTGTCTCAAATGCATTATAGAGAGCTGTATGTACTGCTGTATTAACGCCTTTGAGACCTCTAAAACCTTAGTCTCTCCGTGATCATGATTGCTGTAAAGCATTAGAAACGTCGGCCAAAAGCACCGAAGGCAAAATAAATCTGTGAAAAAATCCGAAAAGATAATTTTATTTAAAATGTCAATTGTTCGCGTAAATATAAGAAATTATTAGTGTCTTGTTTATGAAAATGCTGTACTTAAAATATAATTTGTCTTTTATTTTTAAATACGCTTTCAAAACTTACAACATACAGGCAACAATGTCAGGGGACCTCGTAACTTCTAACCAAGCGGCAGCAAAGCGAGCGAAAGAGAAACTCTCCTCTTTACTCAAAGACCCTAGTGTCCGTGAGGAGCTGATGCTGCCCAGCGCTCACCAGCGGCTCCAGACCTTCGATACTGAGCCTACTGTAGGAGAAATCGCTGAAGTCCTATTAGGAATTGGTATGTACCGCAGCAGAGTTTCCCGAACTTTAAGATCTTAATAGCCTTTTTTTTAGTATTTTCTAATGTGGACACGTTCTTAATATCATCTGTGTATAGAAATGAATATATTTTTTAACCTCTCTCCGCTAATATTTGAATTGAAACTCTTTTCGAATTTTACAAATTATTTTTTTGTTGTAAAGCATCTAAATAAAACCTATTTTCTGCTTATAAAAATTGATATAAAATATTAAAATTTTAAGATCCAACAATTTACTTAAGTTAATAGTTTAGCTAATCTCCTAGATGATTAGCTTACCTAGTAGATAAATGTGATTCCAGGTAATACAATCCCAGACCCCGTGTTCCTGTGCTCGATCGAGCCGCCCAGCGCGGCCTATCAGAGCGCGCTGGAGACGGCGCTCGCTGAGCTGCAGCGGGAGGACCCCAGCCTGAGGGTCACCAGCGATGAGGACACCGGGCAGATAGTGTTGGCCGGTTAATAGTTTAGTTTTTTTTTGTTGTTTTTTTATCTCTCAGATGCTGTTACTGGTATGTTTTTAGAATGTCTTGTTGAATAATTCTGGGTTGATGGGCTGGTGGGCTGCTTATGCCATTGGGGTAGACGAAAGTACCATATACTGCTTCGGTGACTCGCCTCACGTGTCGTAACTCTCTGGGTTAGAGGGAAAAAATACCATTATAAATCCGATTTATATCATCATGTGTATATATGCGATATTATAGTTAATAAAAAAAATACTTTCAATTTATTTAACAATAATTTGAGACCGGCTGGGCTGGAGAAGACAGTGGAGTAGCGGGTTCAAATCCCGGGTCTCGCACCTGTGACATTTTCATCTGCGAATCATTTTCAACATGATTATACAATGAAATAAAAATAGAGTAACAATCCATATTATCTTCAGGTATGGGAGAACTCCACTTGGAAATAATAAAGGAGCGTATAATACGTGAATACAAGATCGAAGTGGAACTTGGCCCGGCGCAGATCTCGTACAAGGAGACGTTGGTGGGCAGCGCCAAGCACACGCTGGCCGTGGAGAAGAAGATAGGCAACGCCAAGCAGATGGCTAAGGTGGTGATGTCTGCCAAGACTGTGAAGGGGGTTGCTCAGGATAAGGTGCTCAAGTAAGTTATGGGCCAGTTTAAAGATATTTTTTTTATTTTAAATAAAACTATCTGTTCGTATATTTTCGCGGATATATTTTGATTTATGGTTCCCGAAGTTTCGAATGCTTTACAGCAATCATGGTCATATGAGAGACTAAGGTTTAGACGTCTCAAAGGTCATATAGATATTAAATAAATCTGCAAAAAAACTGAAAAGATTGTTTTGTTTAAAATGTCAAATATTCGCATAAATCAAAGAAAGTGTAAATAAATTAAAAAAAAGTGTTAAGAAAAGTTTTATGTTATCAAATCAAATCAAAATATTTTATTCAGCATTAAATTATTACAATTTTTTACTGAACGTCATGTGTCTACTACCAGTTCGGAAAGAAGCCTCATACCTGAGAAGAATTGGCGAAAGAAACTCAGCGGGACCAATATCTTTTCTTAAAGTATAATCTTTTTTTAAAGTAAAATTATAATTTACAATATTTCTATCAAGTTGAAGTAGCCTGGCGGCGATCGTTAATATGAAGAAGATTAAAATATCAATTATTTATAATACAAGTTACACAGTTAAATATAGTTATCTAAATATTGTTACGGAGCTAACTACTAAATTAACAAGGAAATGGCGCCTCTGATGGCCTTTAGCTGGTTTATTTTTAATCGACGTCCAAAAAGGAGGAGGTTCTCGTTTCGTCGGAATCTTTGTTTTTTTATGTATGTTCACCGATTACTCGAAGACGCCGAAAGCACCGACTTCGAAAATATCTGATTAGGTATCTATTCTAGATGAAAACCCCGTTTAGTTATTTTTTGCATTTTAGTGCCCGGAAGTCGGTTATTTTTTTTTAATGTGTGGATGAACTAATGCATAAATTGTCCGAAGTACATTGATAACCTCAAATATACTGGCGCTATTATTATAAATGTGAAAGTTTTTACGTGTGCGAATCGTAAAAGTTAATTTAACTGCGTGAGTAAGATGCATTCAAACTATCTTTATATATATATATATATATATATATATATATTAATAATAATATGATTCCCAGATTAGACAAGACGGCGGAGAGCGCGGCCAACCTGGCGCACGTGCACCCGCGCTACCTGGCCGCCATACAGCAGGGCGTGGCCGCCGCGCTGCTGCACGGGCCCAAGCTCGGCTGCCCGGTCAGTGCACACACAGGCAGACACACACACACAAGCACACGCACACAGAGAGATACACACACGCACAAACCGTGTATAATTCCAAATGCATTTAATAAAAATCTGTTATTTTGACATTACAAAGAGACACTTCAATTTTATTTATATGTATATGTAAACGTCAAGTATTCGCGTAAATCTAATAAGAAAATAAGACGTAACTTAATTTCAAATTAAGTAGGTATTTTCACTATAATACAAACCGTCTTAGCTGTACAATTCACTGGCTTTTGTTATATTTTTCAAAAAAATACCACAAATAAATTGCTAAATAAACAAAAATCTGTTCGTACATGTCCGCACGCGCGACGCGTGTAAGAGATGCAAAATGCGACAAACAGGCCGCCTGAACATCGCGGAAAGTAATGATCGGCTAGTCGGATTAGTCGGCCTTTTTCCAATCGACTAGTGGCAAAACTCATATTCGGCCCATCTCTAATATAAACCAAACAAAACAACGAGAGACGAGATTGACCGCGTACGTACTTGTAAGTGGTAAAAAATTTTTCTCCTCTAAACTACCTCAGTGGTGTAGTGGCTAGCATGTACGGCTGCACACCCGGAGGTCCTGGGTTCGAGTCCCGGGTCGGGCCAGGTTTAGTTATTGAGTATTTCTGTCTAGTAAGCCTCAGTAACAGCCCGGAGTTGGGAAGTTGGCGGTGTTTCACCCCCGTGCCTCGGAGAGCACGTAAAGCCGTCGGTCCTGCGCCTTAATTCTCACTGGTCGTGTCTCGTGGCGTCCCACCGGAGTATGAGAGTGACAGGAATAGAGAGTGCACGTTGTGTCTGCGCTCTCCCTCACACGCGCTGCACTATAATATCTACTGCGCAGTTGGCTAGTCTCAATGAGATTGGCCGCCGTCGCCGGAATCGGTCAGGAGAACATCATCACTTTTTTCTCCACGTTTTGGCTGTTATGCACAAGTATATTCGCGTTAAATCCTCAAATTTTATTTTATATAATACACATGTTTCAATGATTAAAGCAAATATTCGGTACACAGTTGGTGGACGTGCAAGTGACCCTGCACTGGTTCGAGGTGGGCCGCGGCACGTCCGATTCCGTCGTCGCCGCTACTGTCTCTCAATGTCTACGGAAGGTCACTTTAAACATATATATTATTTGTTCATTTTCATTGTTTGTTGTATTTATTTGTTCGCTAAATCTTATGTAATGAGAATATACTCTTATTTTATCTAAACGAAACTATTCTTAATTAATCTTTTAAAAAAAAAACAAAACTTACTGATAGAAGGTATATTTTAATATTCAAATTGATACACCAGACATCCTTTAAATCAAAGCAATATTGTAACTAACATCCATTGAATTACATAGCTTTTGTTTGTACTATTTTTTTAATACATAACAAATCCACCATAACGCCATCTATTTGCATTAAATTGTACTAATTCTTGATCTTCTCATAACCCAGGTGTTTGTGGAAGCAGAGTCAGTGTTACTGGAGCCGGTAATGTCTCTGGAGCTGGTGGTGCCCGAGTCCTACTCCGCGCGGCTGCTCACCGACCTGGCGCGACGCCGCGCTGATATACAGCATATACACCTGCGGAATAATAATAAGGTGATCATAGTTTTGTATGTATTCAGCTCTTTTTAACCGACTTCCAATTCCAAAAAGGAGGAGGTTCTCAATTCGTCGAAATCATTTTTTTTTATGTACGTTCACCGATTACTCGAAGACGCCGGAACCGATTTGGAATTTATTTTTGTTTCAAAGGGTATACTTCCCAGGTAAAGGTCCCATATAAATTTTATCGAAATCGGTTGAGTGGTTTTTAAAAAATCAACAATAAATATTTTTTTTAAATAAATTGTTTAATCGAATATGTTATTAAAAAACTTTCTTCTTACAAATTACCTGATTATTACGTCTACACTAAAAATGGAAAAATAAAAACTTTTTAACAAAAAATAAAAACCGACTTCCTGGCAAAAAAGTTTTGAACGTCCCACTGCTGGGCATGGACCTTCCTTCAATAAGAGAGTGAGCGGTCTGAGGCCACGCTGGCCAAGTGCGGGTTGGTGGACTGAGCATGTCTTTCGAAAACTCTATTACTTTAAAGCTTCTCAGACATGCAGATTTCCTCATCTTGTTTTTGTATGAAAGAGTAACATCCACCTATCATCATCCATCCGCATAAATTTTCGCGTTTATTTAAGTAGGATTTATTAACTACTACCGACTCGCCCTCGTTGTTGGTCTCCTGCCAGCCACGTGTAATTTTTATGAAGTAGTCAATCGACAATATTTTAAAATATGAATATCTAATAGGTAAATATGTATTTTACGTATCGAAATATATTAGATTTGCTTTGCATCGGCTGGCACCGACTTCGAAAATATCTGAATAGGATATATTCTAAATGAAAACCCCCGTTTAATTATTTTTTACATTTTAGTGTCTGGAAGTCGGTTTTTATTTTAAGTTAACTTTAAACATCTCTTCTGTACTATCTTTCGTGTGTGTTGACTTTTTTATTTCAATTTATTAGTGACGTAACAAAGAAATATTTATGTTCACTCGTCACGTCTTACAACAACCACTAAAATCCATCCACCCAAACTTTCGCATTTATAATATTAATGGTATTTCCAGGTAATAGAATGTCTGGCGCCACTGTCCGAGTTGCTGGGCTACTCGTCCACGGTGCGCTCGCTGAGCTCGGGGCTCGCCACATACACCATGGAGTTCCACTCCAACCGCCAGATGGCGTCGCACGAGGAGGAGAAGGCCGTACGCGCTGTCACCGGCTTTTAGATGGCATATTGCTATATAGGTTGTTTTTTATTCTACTTGCTTCGCTCGGGTTCATACCTAGGTACGTTTTAACGGTTAGTATAGAATATATAGACTATATATACATAGATACAAAATAAACAGTTGTGAACTTTTAGATTTTCCAGCAATTTTTTTTTTTTGGGCTTTCCCTATTTTTATACTTAAACCACCCTTGTCATATTCCCAACCAAATAAAAAAAGAATTATTGAGAAATTTATTTACATATATGTATATATGTACACAAAATCTTGTATTTTAGTTGTTATTCAATAAATGGCAACGTTTGGAAATTGCCTCGGCCAATTTAAGCAAAATTGACACTGTTGAAACATCTAAATATGACTTGGTTCAAGTTGGTGACAGACCCGAACGTGGAAACCTTAGAAGTTCAGAAGTATAAGATTTAAAGATATAGTAAATTCATTCATCTATTACTGTATATTAAAATATACCTTTTTTTTGGAAAATGGTTTCGAAATTAAAGCTGTATAATGTATTGCTATCTCTTGGTGAGTCACACGTTTTTCCTGTGTTACTAAAAATATGCTATCGTTAGACGACTGTATGGATTAGTAAATTGTGATAACACTCAGTTCACATGTTATTATCTATTTGGAAATTTTTTAAAGTTTTTGTTTTTTATTTTTTCATTAACAATGGATTCATTAGATTAAAAATAAAACATGTAAAAGCCAAAAGACATGAAGAAATATTGAAATTTTTGATCGATGATGAATGATGACTGATGATGAGTAAATAATAATTATATTAAGAGAAGAATATTACGGTGTCGATATTATGATAGTGTAGAACTTTAAAACTAATGATAACACATTATTGTAAATAATACACAAAACTGTAGTAACATTAATTTATTTGTAAATTTTGTACAAATATAGTTTACTTTAACAAAAGAAATTTCTTATTATTTCTCGAACCTCACAAGAACTAAAAACTGATTTATCAAATCCACAACCTTCAAATACTTTTTTATAAAAAATCGTTTCATGATTTTTACTAATCTTTTGTATAATCTTATGAATAAAATAAGCAATTCTTGTATATACATACGTATATTAATTATATATATATATATATATATATATATATATATATATATATATATATATATATATGTATTTTCTGACAAAAGGCAGTAAGTAGGGCTAGGAGCTCGGAGGGACTCTGAAGAGGTTGTCGAGCTCGTCCCGCAGCGTGTCGAGGCGGTAGCGCAGGCGCAGGTCGGGCACGTTGGTGCGCGCGAAGTCGTTGCCGGCGGCGCCCGCGCGCGTGTAGCTTGCGCCCACCCAGCGCTGCTTCACCTGTTCATGGAAATACTTGCAATTAGTAGTTACAGCTCTTGTCATAGGTGTCGCTAGGGGCACCCCCAACGTGCGTTCGCCTTGACGTGATGGGGGGCTCAATAGTGCCCGGTAATCCAGCCGGGCGCGACTACAAGAAACGCACAGGGAGGTGGCCTACTTCGGTGGGCGGTGTGCCATGTGGGTTGCTCCTGGTACTTCTCTGACAGCAGAGTGGACTGTGGAGCAACCCCCATGGTTGATGTGGTCTGCTTCGGCAGACCTGCTGTCCGATCCTGCGACGCCCCATTAATACGGGGGAGGTTTTCTTGGGTTTTAGTGGATAGTATTGGCTTTTCGAGCCGGTGAGTCCCACATGAACACCTGTATGTCTACAGGTGGTATGCGTAAATTTCTCAACGTTGAAAAAAAAAGGTGTCGCTGCGGGCATGCACTTGCATCTCCCTGCTACGAAGGAAAATATATAGAAAATGTTAAAGAAATAAAATTGCATAAGTAAAATCCCTGTTTAAATTTAGATATCTGCGAAAAAAGATGATAAATAAGATATGAATAAAAATTATAAAGTTAATCATTATAGGGCCAATGTTATATTCGTTTTGCAAAGATCTAAACTACCATTCGACTCGATGAAAATTTGAAACGTAACGAATTCCATTCGGTCTTGTATATAAGAGTTCTATACGTCATGAACGAAGGTGAGTATACAATATACATTTCAATTCTAATCATGAGCCATAGCTTTGAATTCATGGAGAGTTTATAAATACCGTTATTACATATTACTGACCAGTTTTTGTCCGCGGCTCCACTCATGCCTTAGTCCCTCAATAAAAAGTTATCTATGAGTTGAACCAATTAGAGCAAGTACATATAAGTAACTGGCAGTTTTAGACTCAAAAACTTTCGTACTTGTAAAATCAGTGTGATTAGGTCTACTTTTTGCATAATATCAAAAGGTTTATATTTTAATTTAATAGAGAAATTTTTCACATCATTTCTTGCGCACTAATAACTAAGGACAGTATATATTTTGATTAAATTAATATTCAGTTAAGATTATCAATAACACAGACCTCGTGCGGGAAGCCGGACATGAGCACCGAGTTACGCGCCAACTCGCACATGTCGCACGAGCTGAGCTTCCACGCCTGCGCCGCGATACTGTACTCCTCCATTAAAGGCTCCTGGACAGTGCAAATTTATTTCCAGTTGTACATTACTTAAAATTAAGTGGTTATTTAAAAAGTTTTTTTTTTCTAATCTGAATTGTAATTGTGAAACAAAACCCGGAGGAAGCAGCATTGAAAGTATTAAAGAGTTGAAAGAAGCTTTGTATAAGATAAATAAACTATAAGTAAATCTTGGTTAAGTGTGAGTCGGACTCGTTTGAGGAAAGGTTCCGAACAAAGAAGCATAAACTAATTCTATTTAATATTTATCTACCCAACAATGTGTATATTAAACGTCAATTTTTCTCATCAGCTGAACTCGATCTCCGGTAAAAATTATAAAAATAGTGACACAGATCAATAGAGTGGTCTTATAAGGGTATCATGTTTTCTCGTGATATGCGGAACCCTAAAAATTAATATGTACATAGATACCTTTGTATAATGAAACTGCAGCGGGTCATCGGTACTGAGAGTCACACAAAGGCCTCTAGCAAAGAATTCCGGCAATGGATTGCGATGGTAGCGCAGGAACAACGAGTTGTTACTGAGGGGGGACATCGCTATGTAGATTTGTGCCAAATAGTACACGTATTGTAACACTGGCACCTGCAAAAGTAAAAAAAATATGAAATTCTTTAAAAGTAATCTTTTAAGTCTAAAGATTACAGAAACGTTTCTATTTTGAGAAAAATATAAATTAATTCTAATCGCAACTTGAGAACTTTGCTCGTAACCCTTAATTTGAACAATAGGCAGTGGGATGATGATAAAATAATTCTAAATAGATAGTAAAAATGTTTTCCACATGATGTTTCTATTGGCATTATTTGGCATTTATAAAAATATGCCATAAAGAAAGTTACTTTTCTCAACATGAGGCCATGTGATATGTTCTCGGAGAGCAGGAACCCGGCGCAGAGGTGCACGGCCGGGCCCGCCTCCCCGCAGTGCGGACGCAGCACGAACGTATTCAACCCCTGCTCTCTATATAAAAGAACTTTATTAAGAAATCTTTATTGTTGCATATAAGATGATACATGGTTTATTTTCAACTCAATATAAAATTGTTCAGATTTTTTTGATGGACGTGTATGGAATAAAAATGTCAGTAACCTATAACTTGTCAATATTCTTCATCCATCAATAACCAAGTTATTTTATCAATAACAGCGCTAAAAATAACTAAAATACTTAAAAAATCTTTAAGGTAATCAAATAAATCTAAACTTAGAAAGTAATAAGTTCCTAGATACAAAAAAACTACTAACTTGCGAAGTTGGTTAAGTGTGGTCAAGTTGGCGTACATGTAGTAGAGGTAGTACGCGTAGGGCGGGTTCTCCTCGTCGTCCCACTCGTCTGGTGTCTTCATATTCTCCGTTAAATTCGGATTTTCTGGTTTCGATTCATCATCGACACTGTCGAAACCTATTACGTGCTGGATAGAGGTTTAAAGTGCTTAAAATTTAAAAATGATACTTGAGACGATTTAATTCAAAACGGAGGAACTTCTAATTTCGGAGATAATTTTTGGCAACTTACCGTCAAAAACTTATGTAGCTCAGGATTAGAGTTCGGGTCCACAGACACCTTGAATAACGGATCAAATAGGTTGCTGAGGAACTCTTGGAAATTCTTTAGAATATTATTTGCGCGGTAAATATCACTGGAATCAAGTATTAATATTTCTCATCATCTACTATTTTATAAACTACACATTCTGGACACATCATACCTACTATTTTATCGTGTACGGCATATTTTATTGCACACGCACAGTAGGTTATGGATTTATTTCTCGTATTAATCATATACATTTATTTTGAGTATAATATAATATTTTTCTCATTCGGGCGAGACCGGAAAATGATCAAGATACAACAGACACATAAGCTAGTAGTAGTAGTGCTGTACAACATATATAGCAATAGTACATGTTACAAATTCGTTATTTGCACATTGCATATTTCTAAGGAGTGGGCAAACGACATGGTTTATCACAAATATTTCGATTACTCCAAAAAAATTCTATTGAAAATATGACAAATGTCTCACTAAAGCCTGGGTACTTGCACGAGCCAGCGCACGTGGTGCGAGTGCACGCGGTGGCGCAGCGCCCACGCGGCGAGCGCGCCCCACTCCTCCGCGCGCTTGCAGTAGATGGAGATGCGCGGCTCCGCGTACGTGTACTTGCTCTCTTCTAGGTCACTCATCACTTCCTAAGGTGATAAGTTGAAAAAATCTTTCTTGAACAGTCCGAACTTAAATATTAAAAACTTAAAAATTGGTATGTTTAAACCAGAATTAGCCAGCCTAGACTTGTAAAAGAGTTGATATAATTGTAATATCGCTAACAGAAAATTAAAAAATATATAACACCTCAGTTTATCATCATCATTTGCTTATGGCAGCCGTTTTTTAAACTGGTGAACGTAAGTAGGTTATAGGTTATCTTAATACTTAATCCTACTTAAAAGTAAAATATTTGTAATGACTGCAGTTTTCATCAGCGGGGAATCCCAATTCGTTCGTTAGACAAGTGACAACGGTGATACTTTAATAAAAACAGTATTATCATTTAAAAATATTTAAAAAAAATGACATATTTTTAAGAAACCTTAATAATACTGGCGAAGTAAGCGCCGTTCATATAGTTATCAGTTTTGAGGAAAACTTCTCTGAGTCTGCTTTCTCCAACTGGATTATACTTTGCATTGAATTTGTCGAAGCGATGAAATGTGTTTCGATCCTAAAAAACAGTGACAGAATATAGTTAAGCTCAATAGACTAAGTTCAACAGAGGGGCCATCTTATCATTATAAGTCCTAGATTTATTTCACAATGCCGAACGTTTACACAAAAAAAACTTAAATTAAATTTAATTCCACACTAATCTATTTTCAATCACAAATCATATTGAAATGGCAACAAAATGGCAAAGAGTAAATTAAAATCAAGCGTATCACTAACAGCGTGTACATCGAGTATGTCCACATTCAGATCATACGCGTCCAGCTGCATGTCCTCGAAGACGGATTTAAGGGTCATGGGCATACCGTTCCTCAGCGCCACTACCTGTCCCGGACACTTCCGCAGCGTCCGCTTGATGAAGCGAAGAAGATGCTTCTGGTTCATACACGACGCTGCATGTATGTGAGTGTCTACTTTCCTTTATAAGTGATGAGGATTTAGATAATGAATTCTAACAATAAGTCTCAAACCATTGTCATTTTTACAAATTTATACCTGACGTTATAAAAGTCTCGATGGGGAACAGCCTTCTGCAACGCGAGCTCATGCAATTCATTGAGTAAAATGTGCATTCTGTACTTAGACGAAAGATAACTTAGACGCCTGTAGCAAAATGATTTCCTAGAATGAATTTGAATTTCATGAATAGGTCAACCACAAATTGAAATAGAAACGAAACATAAAACCGGGACTGTCTTACAGCGGTCCATCCGACACCATTTCAGTCAAAAGAGCCATGTCTTCGACGTACTTCTTGAACGAGACGTAACGATATTGCAAAGATTTACAATCTGTAGCGTCCATTTGGTTTTTATACACGCGAACTAATCCTTTCTTCCATTGGCACACGTAATGGCGGTCAGGAGGGGTTAAGCAACTCCAGGGATCTTGGACGGCTGTGAAAAGTTACAATTTAAATAAGAATTATTTTAAAATATAGATATTTAAAAAAAAATCTTTAATAAAACTGAGACTTTATATACCAGATTCACTGTCCTGCATTTCGTCTTGACTGTCAAGAGAAACTCTACTCAGGCCAGGGAAAATTGATAGAGTTCCAGTAGGGTATACTGCACAAATAAAAAACGGATAAAGACTAAATCACTCGTAAAGAAAAAGCTAAAAGATATGAAAAAAAAACGTTGATTAAATATACTATAAATAAAAATAAATAGTTAATCATGACTATATTTTTCATAAAATGTGGTCGGTGGTATAAATTAATATTTTCTTCAAACGTACGTCTACTATCGGAGTACTGCGAACTTCTTTTATCAAGGCCAATACCATGGTCTAAAGGCAGGTCTTCTGATGAACAAGCATTCATATGTAAGAACTGCTCAGCGGTTGCAGCTGGAATGCATCAATGAATCAACACTTAAATAAGATTTTAAGTTTATTTACATATTTTAAGTGAATAAGTAAATTAAGCAGTGGCAACCCAATGGTACCGCTCTCGCTTGGAAAATCAAGTGAAGCGGGCCTAAAAGGCTTTATAAATTCAGTCAAGAAAGTATCGGGAATAGATGATTTGTTTATGGTTCCAAATTCAAATTTTTGTTTTTTTGTTGTTGTTAGATTGGCACTACTGTTTTCCATTTTGGCGCGGAGTTTGAGTTGCATCTGTTATTTATTATATTAAATACAGTGCTGTTTTTAGTTATATCATTCTAGTGTGTATTGCGAATTTCACCATGGACAAAAACATCGAACAAAGAGTTTGTCTTAAATTTTGCATCGCCAATGGATTTCGTGTTCGGAGTCACTGAAAATGTTACAAAAGACTTGAACGTGAATCGACTTTCACACAATCGAAGGAAATAGTGACTGAAAATCCTCATTCAACTTTGAGAGATAACCGCCGAACTTTCTGTATGCTTGGATTTTGCACCACGAATGCGCCTTCGCACAAGGCCATCATTGTGAACGAATTTTTGACCAAACACTCAACAAATACCATCGAGCAACCACCATATTCACCAGATATGGCTCCAGCCGACTTTTTCCTTTTTTCCTAAACTCAAGTTACCACTTTGTGGCACCCGTTTTCAATCGGTAGAAGACATAAAGGAAAATTCGCGGCGAGAACTGAACTCAGTTCCGGAAACAGCGTTTAAAAAATGTTTTGATGATTGGATTATTCGTTGGCGTAAGTGTATCGTTTTTCAAGGAGCATACTTTGAAGGTGATAAAATAAATTTGGGTGAATAACAAACATTTTGTGTATAATTGATCTTTTCCCGATACTTTCTTAACAGAGTAGTATACTTGTTACAGTGTCTGTCAACAAAATCCGCGAAATAATCGCGAAATGGTAGGGGAGCCCAAGAGCTTTTTCGCAGTTAGGTAGATACTCAAGCGCGGCAGATTAACATAAGAGGGGATACCTTGCACTCTATTGATTAACTTGAACGTAATACAAGTACTCTATATAAGGGCGTGCGTTTAGGGCAGCCGATCAAAATATTTAAAAAAAATATTTTGATAAGGTAGTAATACTTGAAACCGTCAGATTAAGGTATGGTGGGCTAATTGCATTCTGAAAGTGTGCAATTTAATAATCTGCCGATTTGCATAAGCCGAAGAGGCAAAAATCGACTATAAAGTTTATGTTGATTTTTGCCTGTAATCCCCTCTTGGGCTTCCCTACTAAAAAGATAGTTTTTTTAAATGTCAAAAATTCTACGAAAGTATTATATTTATGAGTATTATATTTATAGTTAAGTCTATATTACAAATATTTTAGCCAAATTAGTAGTCTTACAATCAAAGTGCAATAATGCTCGGCTGAAATCGATAGGTTCTTCAATTTGGTTATCAAACGGAGGAGCCTCATGATGCAAGAGGTAGTACAACAACAGCTCTGGAAAGGATTGGCTGGAGATGTCCATATACCGGCGGCGCAGATTGAGCGCGCTCACCAGCATCGTGGAAGATCTTTCAAGATCTTCTAAGGGCACCTACATATATTTGGTATATTCGTTAATTCAAATGATAAACACAGCATAATAGTTAGATACCTACTAATTTTTAAGATTATTACGAGTATTACGAATTTATTATTTCTGTACTTATTTATGTTATGATGCTATTGTCCCATTTCCGTCATTATTAAAAAATCTTTTAACCCGAGATTGTCTGATCGAGATTGCTTTTAGCAATAACCGCCTTTGCGTGCTTAATATTCGTTCTCAAACAACACCTGTACCTACTTAACGCCCTTATATTATGTGTGCAAAGATTAATAAATAAAAATAAATATTAAGTTTCAATCAGAATTATATTTCTGTTACAGTATATCAACCTATTTAAATGATTTCGAAAGTTATATTTATGTAATATTTTACATTTTCTTAAGTGTTAAAAAAAATACAAAAGCAGTCGTTCAGAAACGATTTACTAAATATTCATACATAGTCCGCCAATCCGTATTTGACCAGCATGGTGGGCTATGGCATGACCCCCCTTAATTCAGGGGAGACCCGTGCCCAATAGTGAAACGGACTGAACATACAAATATTCTGAATATAAGATGAAATAATATGATCGCCACTTACTCCAGTTATATGAATACCAGTAACGGACACTCGTTGCAAAGGCAGCGTATAGCGCCGGCGGCCGTGGCCGGGCCCGCGGATGTGCGTGCGAGTCGCACTCGCCATCGCATTGCGAGCAGTCTCACTATATGTTAAACTTTGTAAATAACGTTTAAAAACGAGAATATTACTTATCATTAATATACGTTTACCTTTATATCAATTGAAAAATATTAATTATAGTTGTTTGCAAATTAGAACATTAAGGGAAAAAAATAAATTTCTTCTTAACGTCGTCATTTACAAAATGGCTATTTTAAAATATCTACGACTGTACTAGATACTCTGCCACGTACTTCAAAAGTGCCGCGGTTAGAGTGAAAAAATAATACAATCAATCGAGTCCATTAACGGTATTATTAAACGATCAATTCAAATATCAATCATGTCGTTGAAAAATCCGATTCTACAAGCTTTCGCTACTCACAATTTAGTGATAATCGCTGATATCTCATTGTAGCTTGCTTTAATGCTAGATAATCACAAATTCTACCAATACCTAATAGTTTAGTCTACAAATCGCACTCACCCGCGGGACCGGTTCCATTGTTTAAAGTCTTTTTTAGTGCCAAACATTATAATCTTTTATTTATTTCATGTTAACTAAAATTTACGTATTCTCCATTTTACCTGTTTTATGTCATGTATTGAATGACATTGTTATTGAAGTTATTTTTTTGTCTTAAAATTTAAAAACATAGACCTTTATGTTGTTTTCGATTCTATTATATTACTTTACATACGCATTACTTTAATCATTACTATTTAAATCCTTTTTTTGTATTGACTCGAAGGACCAAATCCAAATATATACATTAACAAACAAATGAAAAAAAAGGAAATAGAAATAAAAATATAATGCCTCTTTTAATTATTTTATTTATTTTTATTATATCAAAATATTGAGGACTAACAAATGATTAAGAAATATACTTCAACTTACAAACATTTTATTTACGTACATTAACAAAATATCTTTGTCATAAAAAAAAAATATGTATAAAAGTACAATACTAATAAAAGCTGCTTGTCACAAAATAACTCAAGAAATAGAAATAAAAGTGAAGAAAATTATTTAAACTAGCGAAGGTCGTTTAATGCTGACCATTGGTGCGGAGAAATCTGGGGGAGGGGTTCGACGGGATTCCCGTCGCTTAGTTGGTAATGGCACTCCATTCTGTTGACCGGGGGGTTGACAAGCCTAGAAAATTCGTTATTTTTTTATATGTAACAAAATATAAATTAATTACTAAAAAATAATATCTACTAATTAAAAAATATCCATAACACAAAAAAAAAACTATATATAATGATGAAAATAATGATTACCTGTTAGCACGGCGACACACAAACGACAGTCCATACAATCTTGGTAAATTAATATAGTATAATAGTATTCCTTGCATATTTTTATGAAATTAACTTAATTTGAATTGTATATGAGTCGTTAATGTTATTTTAAATATAATAAAACATTTTGTCATATAAAAATGTTTATAAGATGTTGTAGGAGCACGTTTAATGATACCATTGATGTTATATTTTTATAAGGAGTTTCTATACTGTATATCGACATGCTCAATATACATGCTGTACGAACGCTTGTTGCCAATGCCAAAATTATTACACTTTTTAATTAACAAAACAAAAAATATATTTATTTAAATAGCGTTGTCCTTCAAAAACAATTCTATTAGACGGAATCATTTTTAGCAATATTCAAAGTTAAGTTTATAAGTAATTTTGACATTGACAGTTTCAGCGTGTACCTTATGGCGGGAGCGGCGTGCCACTTTGCTGTATCTATGTCACAAAAAATATAAAAAATATATTTTAAGGCTTCGGACTTACGAGTCAAAAGTCGCAGGTTCAATCCTAACTCCTCACAAAGTTTTATTATTCAAAGCATAGCTGAACTTAAATTATTTATTTTATATTAAAAAAATAAAAACAGTCATAAGAACTATGATGTATATAAATTCTTTTTTATAAAATTAATACATTGTAATAAGTGTTAGAAATAAATAATGCGATTTGTGTGAGCAACTTTATTTCCAACAACATGATAACCACTCTTATATAAAAGTGTATATGTACCTACCAAATTAATGTTGATATATATTACATATATGTCATGGTTAAGTACACAATCTTTACATATATCTTAAGATTATTGTAGAACAGTTTTAAGAGTGTAAGAATATTTAGGTTGCCTACAAAATAATAAAATTGGAAAACAAAAAATAGTACCAGTTTAAAAATATACATATTTTCAGGCACATATAAACCACATTTTACTGTTGCACAATATTATAAATCCATACCTTTAGTAGGTATTTATTTTAATTTTTTTCGAAAACTTAGTTTGTAGGCATCCTAAAAATTTATAAATCCAAGCAAGGACAAAACACTATGAAACAATTCACAAAACACTTGCAACCAACAATATGAGCTTTAGATGAGAAACAACAAATAATGCAATATTTTAGCAGATCCAATAAAAATGTATTAATAAAGATATGATTTATTAATTATAATTATTGTAATTAATTTTAATTATTTTATAAGTCATTTGGATGTAAGATACACAAAAAACCACAGCTAAGCTAGCTGCACGTATAAAAAACAGTTAAAATATGAGACGTCATATAATATAACAATTAAAAAAAATTAGGTCACTGCTTAATGTCAGTAAGTCGATCAAAAGGAATATAGGTAGGTACGTAGTCAAAGTAAAAAGTCGTTTAATATTTAAAAAAAAACTATTCTCTAACTGATTAGAATCGATTATAAAAATATAAAAAAATGATTGTAGTTACAATTCTTATTTGTTTACTAAAAAATAATAAAATGATTTAAAAGTGGAGAAATATAATATAAGCCGTATTAAAAAATCTACACTTATCTAATAAGACCTAATATTATTGTAGCTTTCAGTAAGTAAATTATACTCAAAAAACATTGTATGTTTAATAGATCATTGATTCAAAACAGATGAAATTTTAAATTTACTAATTATAAAATCACAAAACAAATAACAGTAATGAGGAAAAATATAAAAAAGAACATGTGTGTGTACTTATGTACGCACGTAGGAAGTTATACTTCTTAGTTCTTTGGCGTATCAGATCAAAAATATCTAAATATTTCATCCCGGAAGTCACAACTCTCTGTTTGTAAAAGGAATGCAGCTAACTTCATCATGTCGCTTTTTGCTGTTTGTGTGAGCGCGCATCGTAAAAATTTTACTCTCATAATTTTTTTCAAACGTACCAAGAGAAGTATAACTTCGAAAATGTTTTGAAGTGGTAAAGGAAGGAGTGGATAAGTATTTTTTATATTGTCAGTCGCCTAGCTTACTGCCTAATCATACCTAGGGGAGGTCACAGCACAAAACTAACTAGTGAATGGCACTTAGAGTAAAGTCACCGAATTATCACATTGAGGGAAATTCTTAATTAAATTCCATAGAACAAAGTTACACTTAAAAATTCATTACTAATATTGTAAATGCGTGAATGTTTGGTGATTTATTTTTTCATGTGGCAATCAACGTGAGGCTAATATAGAGCAGAGTTAGTAATTCCGGCTAACTTTTAACTTATCATGTGGCCCCATAAAATATTGATATGTTACAAAAACGTAAGGCGCCATTGTCCAAAGACATTTTATATGTAATGGGGTGACGTTTGCTATAGACTGCTATAGCAAACGAGGGCGTTGCTATTAACACATTCGAAACTTTCACACCACATAAATGCAAAAATAGATTAAAGTGTAAAAATTGGGAAACTTTGAATTTACTAAAATCATGTTTTTGAATATATAATTGTATTAGTTAAAGGACTTAATAACTAGTAGTAACTATTTTTAGGGCTGATGGCGACTTATGTTATGTTCTTTGTTTTACTGAGTTCCTTCTAGTCCTTAAGGTCAAGACTTAAAAAGCCTATTTGGAGGATATTCTTATGAGTTGGATCCATGTTTTAAGTGCCACTTTGATCTAGGAAGGCTACAATATATAGATATTCAGATCCGACTTTAGGAAACTACGGTACGTGATGCCGGAAGTTCATTTGAGACATTTTTATTTTAAAAATTATTACAAGTATATTAACATACTTTTGATTTTTGATATGTTACTAACAATATTGTTACTAACACTGAAAAATGTAAAATATTATTGGATATTTTAAATTATTATTATCATTTTCCTAAAGCCGATACTGTCTACATTAAATTGGGGCAACCACGTGAGGTGCGTTAACGAATTAGTTAATATTAATAACACGATTAAATGATTTATATATTATTGAAGTGATGTTTATCCTCGGCTCGACATTCCTTCCTGAAAGTGTTATTTTGAAATAACTATTTTTTCAAACCAATTTATTTCGGTGAAGTTGTTTTAATGTCGTGTTGTCTCTTTCTAATATGAGAAATAGAAAGGAAGAGGGATGGTAAGCATAACGACAAAATGACAGTGAAACTGATCGAGTGTTAAACAAAACGGTTACGTCACAATATCAAGCGATGGGAAAACATAATTTATTATATGATCACACATTATAATGGAACCCAGTTATGCAAAAAACAGTCATGTGCGTAAAAGTACCAACAGAGTTATAAGCATTATTATTCTGTCGATAGTTGCACTTGGGTTATGTTTTGATTTCCTGGCTATTTTAAAATTGAACAATATTTATATAAGTATTGTTTATTTTTTATAATTATTTTATTTTTTATAATAAATTGCATATAGGTAACTCTGTTGGTACTTTTACGCACATGGCTGTTTTTTGCATAACTGGGTCCAATGGTGAGTTATACGTAAATTTGTATATGTACAATATTGAAAATTTGAAATATATATGTATATGTGTAATGTGATGCTACTTTTACGTGTACGTTTTGTACAAATACTAATATGTACTAGGGTGGAGCGAAAAAAAAATATTTTTCTTCGCTTGGGGGTAGAATTTGTAGCTTGTAGTTGAGTAGAAAACGACTATATTCATCAATTTTTGAATGTTTTCAAAGATGAGCAGTCGAAAAAAAAATCATTCAAACAAAAAATTTAAATTAATTATTTATTTTAAAAATCGATGGGCCACCTCAAAATGATATTTTTTTTTTTCAAAAATGTAATTTTATTATAAGCTACAAAATCTACCCCCAAGTTAAAAAAAAATATTTTCGCTCCACCTTAATACGTAGTTATATCGATATTCTATATTCTTTAAAGGTTCATTGTTAGTCGTCGCCATTTTATTTACTTTTGCGGCGCAATATGAAACTAAATATAAAGGACACATCAACAAACAAAAAGTATCAATAATATGCCCTAAAGTGTCACATTACCTAGATATTTAAAGATGCAATTCGACTTATGAGAATTATCACGTGCATTATAAATTAATAAACTAATTATTTATATGCATTAGATATATTAAAATAGTAACATTAATTTAATGGCGATTTTTTCTTCTAAACATTTCAGAAATGTGACATTTTAGGACACCATATTGGTGTAATATTTCGTTTATTAAAGTATCCAGAACATAGTAGAGTCGTCGTGCACCGCTAAGTAGAAATAAAATTAAAATGGCGGAGGATGATCATTGCCAAATTCCACAGGAAATATTTAAATCCCATATGGCATAATAATATAATAAACTTTTTTTATATATATGTTTATTTGTTACATACCTTGAATATATTAGTGAGCTCGTCGAGCAGCGTCTCGTAGCGGAAGGAGATGCGTATATCGGGCACGTTGGTGCGCGTGATGTCGTTGCCCGCGACGCCCTCCTTCATGTAGTTGGGGCCCAGCCAGTACTGCTTCATCTGTAATATTGCGTATCCTGTTAGTTAACACGCTATTTTTGTTTTTACTTGTATGTAATAGTATTAGAAGTCGATTAAAAGTTTAAAGATAAAATGTTTGTGAAATCCGTATCATAATGTAAGCATTTGATACCATCAGGCTGGTCTAATGATTGCTCTGGGAAATGGATAGTGGAACTCATGAACTAACTCATTTTATTCATTTCGTCGAATCCCTAAAGTAAGGCTGGTAATCAGAATATGATTATGGGGTCAATAGATCTGTGAATGCGCTCATCAATTGTTTTTTTTATTTTAATAATTTTTTTACGTTACAATTAGTTACGAGAATCTAATAGAGTCGTCACAAGGTGAAAACTGAAGCTATTTAATTCTCAAAATTTTTGAACTTTTGAGTTTTTAATATCTATGAAAAATATATTTTTAGTCGTTTTTTTATTACAACAAATTATTAATCATTAAATAAAAAACAAAAAATATACCTCATGTGGGAATCCTGACATGAGCACCGAATTGCGCGCCAACTCGCACATATCGCACGAGCTCAGCTTCCACACTTGCGCTGCGATACTGTACTCTTCCATCAAGGGTTCCTGTAACCAGATATTTATGATAAGATATTGTTGCATAATTGAGGGTATAGAACGTCTTCAGAAAAAAAGAGCAAGCCTGAATCATGCTTAAGAAAAGGCATCAAGACGGATGTCAACATAAGACAAGCATAGTTAATGGTAAATTGCCTTGAGTGAGAGAGGGAAAAATTGTTTTGTTTAATACAAAATGTATTCTGTTATATTTTCTTTTAGTAGATATGTATTAAAAATGAAACAATTTGATAGTTTTCTGGTCAACATCATCTATAACTATATAGAAGAAAACAAAAAAGCTCAAAGAATAGTCCAAATTAAGGCTGTCCAATTTGTTGGTATTAATACCAGTCTAAAAATCCATAGAGTAGGAAATGGTAGGCTGTCATGTGCGCCTTGCCCACGTCTCCCCTCGCACACCCCGACTGTCCTGTGTAGACGTCTTCGTAAGACGCATAGATGTAGAGAATGGACTGAGCAATACTGCCATGAAATTGATCACTCTCTAAAAAGTGAATGATTATAAATATCTATCTTCATTAATCGTATTAATATCAGACTTCTTTTGGCCGTATATTCGTTTTGTCTCTGTCGCACTTCCGCTATTTTTAGCTTACAGCTAGCAAAGAAATACTCAGTTCACTCTCTATGTGTACTATGGTAAGACGACTGTATGGTCTATGGATAGTATACTGTGCTAGTATAGTTCTACTACCGTTTAGCTCAGTTTGTATTGATCCTACTTACTACCAGCGGTCGCGGGTTCGAGTCCCGCTGGGGGCATTTGTGTGATAAGCACGAATATTTCTATTTCAGTCATGGATGTTTATACTTATAATATGTATGTAAAATTATGTGTAGTGTATCAACTACCTGGTATCCATAAAACCAGCCTCGTAGCTTACGATGTAACTAAATGGTGCTGTGTGTTAATGTCCCAACATATTGATATTTTTATCGTGTGTGGAGGATCAAGGAGAATGGTAACCCGATACCTTAGTGAAGTGGAACTGCAGCGGGTCGTCGGTGCTGAGCGTGATGGCGAGGCCGCGCGCGAGGAACTCGGGCAGCGGGTTGCGGTGGTAGTTGAGGAACAGCGAGTTGTTGCTGAGCGGCGACATCGCGATGTAGATCTGCGCCAGGTAGTACAGGTACTGCAGCACCGGCACCTGGCACACGTCGCCACGTTCTTAGCATTTTCATAGTGGTTATTAAATTTTTTTGTAGAAATGAAATTAAATTTTATTCAAATGAACCTATACAAGCACTTATGAATCGTGACTTTAATTTAAAGAGCGTCGTCTAATATACATTGTAGATGATAATTGATGATTAAAGTCATGAACCCACAACAGGCCATGGCCGTAGAGGCAGTACCTTGCGCAGCAGCAGGCCGTGCGAGATGTTCTCGGCCAGCATGAAGCCGCACACGAGGTGCTGCACGGGGCCCGCCTCGCCGCAGTGAGGCCGCAGGACGAACGTGTTCAGCCCTTGTTCTCTGTAAATATTACGAATATGCTATTATTACTATATGATAAACATTTTTTTAAAGGATTTTAACGCGTTCTTATTTGAATATATTGTGTTGTCTGTTAAATGATTTACGGTTTGCAACAAAAACAATCACGGCATCTCACGGGGGCTCTTTTAATAATTTGGTTAAAATAGTTTATTTAAAATATTAAATATTCTGGATCTATATAGGCTGAATCAATTTTCAGATGAAATAGTTTTAAGCAGTTTTTTTTTTGGTTTTGTATAAGGTTACAAATCATAGGTTTATTGAAGAAGGAGAACTAATATTTAATTCACAGTCGCTCTTAAATGTGTTTAGGAACAACGTTTTAACTCAGTATTGTAGAAATTTGTACTTTTTATACATGAGAAGAGGAAAGTTATATAACTTCTATTTTCATATTTAAATTTAAATTCGGAATGGCCATATTATTTTTGCAATTAATTTATTTTAAGATCAACATTATTTTGTGTGACATGTTCACTGAAGCATCCGAAACTTCAAGAACCACTTTAATACAATATCCGCGAACAAACCCGAAGAGATAATTGTATGCCTATATATAAAGTATACACACTTGCGGAAGTGGTTGAGCACGGTGATGTTGGCGTACATATAGTAGAGGTAGTAAGCGTAGGGCGGGTTCTCCTCGTCGTCCCACTGCGCCGGGAAGCGCACGTCCGCGTCCAGCATCGGGTTCTCTGGCTTGGACTCGTCGTCCACGCTGTCGAACCCGACCACGTGCTGGAACATATTATTTATTATTAGATTATGATAAAAACGCGCACACGCACGCGCACGCGCACGCACAGGCACACGCACACGCACACACACACACACACACAACATGTTAATAAAAACACAAGAGGTGTTGAACAACAGGTAGGAATGAAGTGCTTTTCGCTGCCTGCTCTTGGCTCATAAATTAGGTCATGAAAATTGTCACGAATACTTGGGTATCATAAACATCAAAGTACATTGTGCATATTGAAGCCTGAACAAAGTTGACACGAACTTCTTACAACATACATTCCTTAACACTCATGCTCCCCTGGTACTTGTGCTGACGTCACACAGGGAGTTCTTAGTAAATAATAAAAAGTGTCGTGATTCCCCCATCACACTGAAGTCTAACTCTCATTCGCCAAGTGTGCCGAGTAATGTGCTTTATGGAAGTGTTTCCATCAGTACTCCCAGATCCTACAAAACTGTTTATACTTTTAACATATATATGTATATAATAACAAAGAAACTTACAGTAAGAAACTTATGCAGTTCAAGGTTGCTGTTGGGATCATTGGTGACCTCGAACAGCGGCTGGAAGATATTGCTGAGGAACTCCTGGAAGTTGTTCATGATCTTGTTGGACTTGAAGATGTCACTGGAGGGAAACGATATAAGATAAGTATATAGGTGTAATACAGCTTTTTCACGCTATTATAAATTGGAAAGTTTGTATGTGTGTACGTTCGTTACTTTTTCATGATAAAACGACTAGATGAATTTGGATCAAATTTAGTACACAGATAGGTTATATTATGGAATATCATATACGCTACTGTTAGGCTACCTACCTAGGGCCACACTCGAGTGATGCATTTCTAAGTACTAGAATTTAACATAAAATTTATTTCTTTTAATTTCAGTTTATTTGAATGTTTTCATATCTTAGAATTTCGTAAACGAAAGAGGTAGTGTTTATTTATGAACTGGCAACTATCCGTAACCACCACGAACGTTTTCAGCCTTGCTAGTCCCACCTTTGTGTGATTGGAATGAAATAAAAAAGTAGAGCGTGCACTAACTATAGGCGCGGTATCTGTATGAGCCAGCGCACGTTGTCAGAGTGCACGTCGTAGGCGATGGCCCAGCGCGCCAGCTTGGCCCACTCGCCCGCGCTCTTGCCGTAGATGGACAGCCGCAGCTCCGCGTTCTGGTACTTGCTCTCCTCCAGGTCCGACGCCACCTCCTGCATTTGTTCACAATTACATATACATATATATCGCGTATCTCGGAAACGGCTCTAACGGTTTGGATCAATTTTTGTATTTGAATAAGGTTTTCCTATTTAAGTTTATAGTCTTTTTTGAAGTATAGTTACGTTAATGATCCTAGCGAAGTATTTTCCATTCATGAAGTTGTCAGTTTTGAGGAAGACCTCGCGCAGGCGGCTCTCGCCGATGGGGTTGTACTTGGCGTTGAACTTGTCGAAACGGTGAAAAGTATTACGGTCCTGCAATAATTATTATTTATACATTTTATTCGTAAAGGCTAATGTGTTGTTTCTTCTCGAATAGAGAAGTTTATAATATATTTTGCTGTTGTTTTTTTATCAAAAATCCAAATAAAAATATTAACAAAAATACAAAATTTCAAATCTGTCGTTCTTTTTTAAATTTTCTTACAATTTATAAAAGGCTAAGGGCTTAGGCTCTGTTTCTATGTACTACAACGATAACTTATAATAGTATTATAAATCATATTTATATTTCAACTCAAAATTTACTTTCACAACAAAAAATCCCAAAGGGTAAAAAAAAAATGTGTGTGTGTACTTATTTATGTACGCACGTAATAAGTTATACTTCTTTGGCGTAACTAAACAAAAATAGCTAAAGATTTCATCCCGTTTGTCACAACTTTCTGTTTGTAAAAGAAATGCAGCTAACTTCATCATGTCGCTTTTTGGCTGTCGGTGTGCGCACGCATCGTAAAAATTTTACTCTCATAATTTTTTCCTAACGTCCCAAAAAAAGTATAACTTCAAAAAATGATCAGCTGTCATTTCAAATAATTAATGTCTGACCGCGTGCACGTCGAGCATGTCCACGGTGAGGTCGTACGTGCTGAGGTTCATGGACTGGAACACCGCCTTCAGCGTCATCGGCGTGCCCTTGTGCAGCGTCACCACCTACACACAGACAATCTCTATTTATTTATATATACTTGCTACTTAGAAATAGTTTCCTTGTATATCATTCTATTCTGTTGATGAATAAAAATCCAACAAATATTTGGGAATGACATAATAAGAGTAAAGGACAATGTAAGCTTTAGTATGGAGACTTTTTTTAGAAGAAAAAAGGATGATGCCAAAAGGAGAGTTGAATAGTATACACACACTTTGTCATTTAAATACAATTGTTAAGATTTCGTAGCCAAAAGATTATAACGGAATTTTTATAATTTCATCATACCCGTCTGTCACCTCCCACAAAGTGCTTTTTTCTATACAATTATTGATCACTTTTAACACTATAAATATCGAGGATATACGAATAGATCCGTTGAGATTTATTAAAATTTGATTACATAACTGATACTATTTACTTAAAAGTTTTCATTTTTGTTTATGGCTTTATAAATTACAATACAAGATTAATAATTTCCACAAATTGAACGAGCACGTTAATTAAGTGTAACAAATGAAGTCTCACCTCATCTGCATGGTTCTTCAACGTCTTCTTGATGAAGCGCAGCAGGTGCTTCTGGTTCATGCAAGAAGCTGCGTGGATGTGAGTGTCCACTTTTCTATTTATAATAAAAAAATACATTTGTTACTTCTTTTCTAAAATATACTTTGTTCTCTTTTGACACGCGCTTTCCTCAATATTGAAAGTAGGTAGTAAGTCAGTCGTATTGTTAATAATTTTAATTGTATAGAAAAAAAACCTTGGTAATCTATGCAGATAAATAAAATTAAAGTGCCTGTGTGTAATGTCAAAATAACAGCGTTTTACTAAATGCATATGAAATTATATACGGTACCTATAACACAATTTTTAAAAAAATTGTCTGTCTGTCTGTTTGTTCCGGATAATCTCTGAAACGGCTGGATTGATTTTGACGGGACTTTCACTGGAAGATAGCTGATATTATAGGGAGTAACATAGGCTACTTTTATTTTAGAAAAGAATTAGGGTTCCGCTCAAAAAAATTAAAACGTACCTAGGGACGAACCCGAGCGAAGCGAGGATGAATCGCTAGTATTACTATTAATTCCATTAAAAAAGTAACTTTTTATTATTATTTATATTAATCATATGCATATACTGAAAGTAGCACCAAGATATGATATTAACCGAATATTGTAGAAGTCCCGGTGGGGCACAGCCTTCTGCGAGGCGAGCTCGCGCAGCTCGTTCAGCAACACGTGCAGCTGGAACTTGCTGGATAGGTAGCTGAGGCGGCGGTAGCAGAACGATTTCCTAAGGATTCAAATATTCCAATTACAAAGATTATTGTTTCATCATCTTAGGTATACTTACGAATAACTTCTAATAATAACTATATACTTGTTAACATTCAACAGAAAATGGATCTCTCAATTAAAATAATCGGGATTATTTAAAATTAAATCCAAAAAGTTAAAACATTCAAGAAAAATTCGCTTGATAAAATTTCGTCTTAGGGCGTATTCTCAATTATCGGAAAAAATACAGTTGCATATAAAAAATATTATTTTTTTATATCCCGACAGATTATACTCTGCTCTTATCTAATGAATTTAAAAACAGCACTTTAATTAAGAACAAATATTATATGACGACATCATTAGGGATGACGTAATTTTTGACTCGATTTGCTTAAGTCAGTCAAGTAAAAATATTAATCTATACACATAGTAAAATTCTAACTAAGTCGAATCTGTACATTAAATATTTTTTGGAAAATCTAATTGAAATAGACATTATTATCGATACAGAGTCAGAATCTATAGTTTTTAAATTTTTTGTCTGTCTGTCTGTTACCGTATCACGAAAAAACCAGTGGACAGATTTCGATGAAATTTGGTATGGTGGTAGCTGGTTATCCAGGTCAACATATAGGATACTTTTTACCGCGGGAAAATATCTCATTTCTGAGAAAAAATACAAAAACTGCAGTGTAAGAGTATACTAATATGTAAAACTTAAGAATTTGGTTTTTGATCATCTGATCGCGGGCGGAGCCGCGGGCAATGGTAGTCAATTGTAAATAGAGATCACTCACAATGGTCCGTCAGCAATCATATTGCACATAGTGTTCTTGTCCTGGATGTACTGAGCCAGGTTGATGTACTGGTAGGGTACTCTTTCCTCCCCCTCTTCAGTCTTCCTGTACAGATTGAACACCCCATTGTCTGATCTGATGAGGTAGTTCTTTGCTTCGGGAGTTGGGCCTTCCCAAGGGTCTTTGTTGTCTTTAAATGGAGGATGGACAATGTGGTCTGGAAAATAAGATAAATAAGGTTTAACATTTGTAAAGCATATCTTCAATATCTTACCAAATTAAAAAAAAAATAGTTTAAAAAATTTTAAAAAAGCATATATTGAAGTTTTTTATTTCAATATTTTTTTACATATTGCCCAGAAAAGATCAGTAAATTCTCACTTTACTTGTGTTTATACATCTATAGAATAAACCAAAATTATTATATTGTAACTATAACATATTTGAATAGCCATAATTATTGTGAAACAATAAACTAAAAAATATTTCACTTACCGGCTATGTGATTTCGTGCTAACTTCACCTTGGGTGCGTGGTTGGCAGCAGCTTCAGTGTCCATGCTCTTGAGGAACCTCGCAGTGATGCTGGAGAAGCTCTGCTGGGACATGTCCATGTAACGTTTGCGAATCTCCAAAGCTTGCACCAGGTATGAGGATGCCTGCTGCAAATCTTCTAGAGGAACCTGTAAATAAATATTAATTCAAAATCCTTAAAATCATACTCCTATTAAATATACCTACAAAGTTTATCATGTGTATGCGTGTATTCGTTACTTTTCAACAGACTTCAAAAAGGAGGAGGTTCTCAATTCGACTGTATTTTTTTTATGTTTGTTACCTCAGAACTCCGTCATTTATTAACCGATTTGGATAATTTTTATGTTGTTTGAAAGTGTATACTTCCAGATTGGTCCCATTTAAATTTCAAAATAAAATACCACCCCTAAGGGTGGAAAAATAGCTAATGATGAATTTAACCTACTTCTAATTGTCATATTGACTTGAAACTTTGCAAGTGTTTCTATTTCCGTTGATAGTACAGTGGTTCGGTATTGTTGACCTGATCTGATGGTAAGGCCAGAAGGTGGATAGGTGGAACTCTTCAACGGCTAATAGTAGATACTTTGAGTTTGGGCCTGTTTTGTTTGATTTGACAAGCCTAATACGTTAGAATTCTTACTTTGCTACTACTGCCTACACTAAAAAGAGGAAAATAAAAACTTTTTAACAAAAAAATAAAAACCGACTTCAAACAAAAGCACTAAAAAGTAAAAAATAACTGATTGGTAGTTTTCATTTACTATACGTACCTAATCAAATATTTTCGAAGTCGGTGTGCTTTGCTTTGTATGGGCTGGCACCGATTTCGAAAATATTTAATTAGGCATGTATTTAATATTTAGGCATTAATTACTTAGCCAAAGCACACCGACTTCGAAAATATTTGATTAGGTATGTATAGTAAATGAAAACTACCAATCAGTTATTTTTTACTTTTTAGTGCTTTTGTTTGAAGTCGGTTTTTATTTTTTTGTTAAAAAGTTTTTATTCATGTAACAGATCAATAGTTTTTAGGGCAATTTAATCGACGGAACTATTTCGTGGGCATTATAATGACTAGTAGCATTATATAAGCTTACTCCAGAAGTGTCCTCCCCACTGATAGCCACCCGCTGAAAATGCGGGAGGATGACATCAAAGTCATCATCATCTCCTCTCAGTCTGGCCGCCTCTTCAAGTACCGCAGCAGCACCACCAGCCTCGCTGCCCGCAAACGATCGGGCTGACTGCCCACATTCTGCTGCCCTGGAATCAATCGTTTTAATTACTCTGTTATCTATACTCATCACTTATATTATCAAAGATTTGTTTGTGGGTTTTTTTCCATTGTTTGTTTGTAGTCGATAACTCCGAAACCACTGATCCGATTTAAAAAATTCTCTCACTAATATGAAGGTATATTACCACTCAGTATTACGGACATTTTTTTATTCCATATATAACAACTTTAATTGAGTCGGAATAAAACTGACCAGTAACTTGCTTTATCAGCATGCCCTGCCTAAAGGTTTGAAATAAAGCAATTAAATGTATGAAAAAACGTCACCTAGAGACGCACCCGAGCGATCCGAGGGTATGTCGCTACTAGTCATACTAATATTATAAAGATTTTGTTTGTAGGACGTGATCTCTGGAACTACTGAATCGAATTAGATGAAATTTGGTAAGAAGATTGTTTGAGACCTTCGGAAGGACATAGGATAGTTTTTATCCCAGAAATCATCCCTTAAGGGTGTGAAAATGGAGATTAAAGTTTGTATTGGAGAATCTAACTAGGGACGAACCCGAGCGAAATAAGGGCGAGTCGCTTGTAAATTATATTTTTATCGTTTCATTTACCCGGGCTACTACGGTTTTTGTAAAGCAAGACGGAATAATAAATGTGCATAGTTGTTTGCGTGCTGTGCCTATACGGTTGTTAAAAAATAATGTCCAATATGTACTCGTAGACTTTAATATTTCTACATAAACAATTATTATGAATATTATAAATATTATTATAAATATTACATTTTCTTTTTTTTTATTTGCATAAAATAAAAAAAAATTAAATGTCAATGATGAAACACTTACAGCTATTTAGTGCAATCAACTCAAATTACATGGGTAGTACTTGTACAATAAACAAAACCAATTACCATTAATAGCTGTGCAAAGTCATCAATCAAAACTGTGGGGTGAAAAAGACGTGCAAATACGTTCGTTCCATACAATGTTTTAATGCCATATAAAAAAAGAACTTTAGTAGTACAGTGGGCCATGTGTATTATGGTACCTAATAGTTCACAAGTTCTAACCTTTTTTTTTTTAACGTTGGGAAATGCATTTACGCACGAGGTGTGGGACTCACCGGCAAAGCCAGTACTACCCACTAAAACCCAACAAAACCTTCCCCCGTCTTAATGGGGCGTCGCAGGATCGCTTACGCATTCAACTACGACGCCCCGACGGCAGGTCTGCCGAAGCAGACCACAACAACCACGGGGTTGCTCCACAGTCCACTCTGCTATCAGAGAAGTACCAGGAGCAACCCGCATGGTACACTGCCCTCCGTAGAGGGCCACCTCCCACCGCCCACCGAAGTGGGCCACCTCCCTGTGCGTTTCTTGGCTTCGCGCCCGGTTGGGTTGCCGGGCACTACTGAGCCCCCCCCCCCCCCACCACGACAAGGTGAACGCACGTTAGTTCTATCCTGCCATATCATTATGGTGAGAAAGACTTTACGTTTTTTCGATTTTTCGATTAGGCTGAGATCAGATGTTGAAACTGAGATTATTCGTAGTCAAATAAAATAATAATGATTTTGCTTAACTTGTAAGATATATTTTTTTGGAAAAAATATGTAGGTATTTTATCTAAACGTTAATAATAAAAATTACACGCCCAGGAAACTGATGTTTAACTGTTCGAGTGGTCCACATATGTACGAGTACATAATGCATATGGATATTTTTAACGCATATAAATACAGGCGAAGACGGATGTCTTCGCTTGTACCATACTCTAAGAAAAATTCGAGAGTCATTTAATAGATACCTTTTAACAATAATATAATAAACTTAACATACTTAAATTTTAATGTTTAGTATAGATTTCTCAAAGATGAGATATTTTACCATAGTAAAAAGTATCCTATATATTATATATACGATATTGACCCGGATAACCAACTATCATCATACCAAATTTCATCAAAACCTGTCCAGTAGTTTTCTCGTGATGCGTTCTCAGACAGACGTCGTCGACATTCGTCCTCTGTATAGAGAATAATTACTATTTTAATAAGTTTTCCCAAAAAGTATTTAATGTACAGATTCGACTAAGTTAGAATTTTATTATATGTATAGACTTTAGATAAAGATATATATAAATATATCATAAAACTACAACAAAAAAAACTAAAAAGGTAGGAAGGTTTCATACAAAATTTCATCGCCTATTTATACCCCCATATATTTGTATAGAAGAGCATTAATAATTTAATACCAAGTTTCAAGTAATTCTGATCATATTTTTTTTGGGTTGTATTATAACGTGTATTCCCGTGGGAATAAGATAATCTCCCGCGGTAAAAAGCCTATGTCACTCTCCAATCCTCCAACTATTTCCACACTAAAATCATGCCAATCGGTCACTCTGTTTCGCCGTGAAAGAGGGACAAACAAACACACTTTCACATTTATAATATTAGTATGGATATAAAAAAAGATATTTAATATAAGATATAATATACGAGTAAAGCCTATAATATGTATATCTAGTACCTTTTAAATTATTTGCAGGTATTCCCAAATCGATTATAATCTAAAGTGCTTGTCTCGTTTATATCACCAAATCAAAATTAATATCTGCAGATATTAGATTAGGTTAGGTATTAAAGCAATAATAATTTAGAGCCTGTGAGTGGGAGGTAGATAGTATCGAGTTTCCGAGCTGCCAATACATTCGACGCCTCGCCGTGGGCGGATGGCTGAATGGCAGGAATTCAATAGCCGCGTCAAAACAGTGGTGGTAATACAGTGGTCAATTTTATACATTATACTCGATAATCTATAGATACATATAATAAAATTGTAACTAAGCCGAATCTGTACATTAAATACTTTTTGGAAAATCTTTTTGAAGTAGACATTATTATCGATATAGAGGCCGGATCTATACTTTTTAGAATTTTTGTCTGTCTGTCTGTTACTGCATCACGGAAAACCCACTGGAGGGATTTTAATGAAATTTGGTATAGTGATAGCTGGTTATCCGGGTCAACATATAGGATTTTTTTTGAGAAAAAATACAAAAACTGCATTGTAAGAGTAAACTAATATGTAAAACCTAAGAATTTGGTTTTTGGTAATCTGAACGCGTGCGGAGCCGCGGGCAATGCTAGTCATACTATATGACCGAACATCTATAGCCGAAGCTTAAGATTTAGTCAAGCGATTGCATTATAAAATTAGCAATGATTTGTTGCCCTAAAAATCATGGCTTCGATGCACAAGTTTTTAAAAATTTCATATACTTCTAGTGAATTAAATATGTTCAATATTTTACTGTAATAAGACTAACAATTTACTTTGGAAACGAACCTAGGTTTGTTTGTTAGTATGGGTCTAACGCATGTACTTATATGTTCTTATAACGTATTTATTATAAAATATAATATTTCAATTATTTACCCACAGTACTAGTGGTAATGAAGATAGTTTTTAATTAAATCATGCTGCCTTATCTATCTGTATAAAATAAAGCCCAATGGCCCCACTGACTCTCATAGCCAAAACCTTAAATATTTGGGATATTGAAGGGCTAATTCATGACATAGATAATCGATAAAGGACAAAACTTTAAAAATCCGATACAGATGGCAATGTTTACGAGAATATTAATATTTTTCAAGCATATTGAAATAGACAGCCGTAAAAGTCTGCTCGTAATATATACATACTACATACGAGGACAACAGATTACAGATAACATATTCTACGATATAAAAGATTCACGTGTATGTAAGTACTAAACCGGAAAGGAACATAAACATGCTACGTGAAAATATTTGACTTGTAAAATCTTAAGAGTGCAAAATGGTAAAATGTAAAATGGTAAATGTAAAATGGTAAATACAAAATGGTTAACTACGAAGAAAAAAGAAACTTCGAAATACTGTTTTATTATATATATTTTTTTTTGTTTTGTGCACTGCTTTGAATATTAGCAAGACAAGCTGCAGCGACGGCGGTAACAATTAATAATACCAACTGACGGACCACGACCTACTTCAACGTATTCGAAATGTCGGGTTCAAACTTCAAAAGGTAACAAAAGAAATGAAGTATAATATCTATTTTAATAAAGTAATCAAAGAAAATTCACGACATACTCGTATTCTTCGTCTTATATTTTTTCACTCACAAACCTACTTCTCTGCATAATAAAAAACCTTTATTCATTATACACGCTCAATATACCTATTCTATGACAAAAAAATACAGGTATATTATCGAGTTTTGCATAAAAATTAGTACTCGTTTATAAGATATTTGCCTTTCCGTGTAAACATGTTATTATTAAAATATTTTCTTTACTTATACATACATTTACATAATAAATAAAAAAATATATTATATTACATACCTTCTAGACGTCCATTTTTTACATTCGATTTTACTTCCAAACATAATTATTATTGACACATAAAAACTTTAGTATATTACTGTAATGTTAAAAAAAAATATCTCCCTCCAAAAATTATTACTTTTAAAGATATCGCGCTTTAGGCATGAGTTCCACGAGTTCAGCCTTTAGCCACAGTCACATAAATAACGTTGGTAAATCCTGAGGTGGGTATATATAGTACTGCAATATTTAAAAAAAAATCCTCTCTCCTTAAATTATTACTTTTATAGATATCGCACTTTGGGCATGAGTTCCACGTGTTCAGGCTTTAACCACACTCACATAAATAACGTTGGTGAGCACTGAGCACGAACCTCCCTCGTATTAAGGGTTACCTTTGTCAAGGTTTATCCAATTACCAAACAAAATACGGGTTATTTATCCCACTGTTGCATAACTTCACTCATATGGCCTTACTAATCTTACAACAACGGTTTAGCTAAATCTAGGATTAATGATCATTCGTCACTGTCACATCATGACACACATTAAACGCATGAAAAAAAAGAAAATCAAACAATGATAGCCCAATTCGTTTGTAATATATTTCCGCTATTTTACACAGTTTGCAAAAAATTTAGACGTTCAGCCATATTAATGGTTATGTAGTTAAAAACACCTATTCCTCGGTAAGGGTTGTGTCGCGTCAAGGTTGATCCAATTAGTCATAATACCAACTAGACTGTTATACGAGTACACGCGCGCTTGTACGGATGTTGATCATAGACTTATACGACTAGCTTCCACGATGGACGGAGACCTGTGCGACTGTTGGAATTCGATTAAGACAGTGTGGGCGATGTTTTTGTTAAATTTTATACTATATGTACGCCAGACATTTCTCTCACGAGTTTTTAAAATAGCATAACCAAATATGTTTTGAATAAATCATAATTGAATAAATTGATTAGTGGAAAAAGATTTAAAAGATGTGGGCTTATAAAAAAATATTTTTATTACACGTAAGCATTAGCTATTACATGATACCCAACAGAAATTGGTTAACCTGATTTTAAGGAGACTTTGATTGACTAACATAGAATTCAGATTTGCTTGGCAAAGGATACTTTATATTTTCAGAAAGCTACAAAATTTCCGTAAACGAAAAAGTGACGACTGAACAGCTTATTTTACCAGACTTTGCAGTACATTGCAATTTATATTACTGTCTTAACAGGCAGAGTCGCTAGTCAAAGCTATTTTTGTATACTATAAGATACAATTATAAACAAAAATAATCAACTCACTTGACATTCAGTTGCCTTTGTATCAAAAGTTTTTTCTCTATCTGTTCTATAGGGAACTGGGGCACCTCATAAGGCGCTGACAGTTCATTGGGGAGCTCGCGCGGGGCCTCCGCGCCCACTGCGCTAGTGGGACTCTCGCTGCCTGGAAATAAACACCATTGTTTTATATTTTAATATATTCACACCGTCGATCTTAATAAAAATACTAAGAAAGGAAAACATTTATTTGGACAGTTGCCCAAAATCATTGAACTGGCTGGCTGACTGAACTGGCTAAAAAATCATTCTGCATGATTTATGCAAATTTATTTAGGGTACCTACTATCTTATTAAAACGATATCCTAAGGTTCAGCTTCTAAGAGAGAAAAACATTAGCAATAGATTTTTAGTAGATAATAATCAACTTCTCTTCTACATATCTATTATAAAGAGGTAGGTTTGTGAGATTGTGAGTTTGTGACGTTGTAGGGGGTAATCTCTGGATCTACAGAACCGATTTAGATGAAATTTGGTAACAAGATAGTTTGAGACCCTGGGAAGGACATATGATACTTTTGATCCCGGAAATCATCCCTTAAGGGGGTGAAAATGGGAATGAAAGTTTGTGTGGAGAATCAAGCTAGGGACGAACTAGAGCGAAGCGAGGGTGAGTCGCTAGTTATTTATAAACCAATACTTTCGTCTAGTTTCGAACGAGGCAAAATTAGTTTTTCCAAGAAAGGAACGACTTTAATTTGCAACTCACACGAGAACAGCTTAATATTTTATGGATTTTTATGTAGTTCAGCTAATCATTTACTTTCATTTCAACCTAATCGCTTAAGTAAAATCTAAGTATACAGCGTGAGCTTTCCATTCTATGACTTTACATATACAGTAGAGTACATGTTTAATGGTTGTATCTAGACTTAATAGAAACATGCACGTGAGCAAAATCCGAAATTATAAAAGAGTTGTTATGTGAGAAATATCGTTAAAATACTTTATCTTTAGTACTTTATCTATAGACAAACAGCATTTAATAGCTTCTCAGTAATATTCAATAGTGTGCGGTCAAGGCCTACTTTTCTACATATTAAAATAATGAAGTCCACACTGCGGAGTAGTGCTCGCTATCTGTATTCTATTGATAGTGGTCTTATCTCATCTTTTTATCTAATATCTGCTACTACATGCCGGCTGGCATTTTATAGATATATATAAGTTTGAGTAACATTGAGGGGATATCGGCCTTGTGATTTTAGTATTGAACAAGTAATAAATAAAAAAAAAGTCAATCCATTTTTTTCTTGATCCCTTACAAGAAGTTATGAAGTAAGTATAGTTCTAAGAATAAATTGGAGCTCTAGATACATATCATTTTTTGCTATATATTATCGAAAGATTGTGTAATAAAAATATGATGCAATAAATTAATATATAAAAATAAGTACACACACATTTACATCTTAAATCTTAATGTACGTGTAAAATCTATACATATAATAAAATTCTAACTGAGTCGAATCTGTACGATTTTTTTAGAAAATCGTTATTATTTATACAGAGGCCGAATCTACAATTTTTAAAAATTTTGTCTGTCTGGAAACGCATCACGAGAAAACCACTGCACATATTTTGATGGAATTTGGTATGATGATAACTGGTTATCTGGGTCAACATATAGGATACTTTTTACTGTTGGAAAATATCTCATCTCTGAGCTGGTTAAACGCAACTAGGAACGAACCCGAGCCGAGCGAGGGTGAGTCGCTAGTTTTACTATATAATATGTATTAAACATATATACATGTATATACTTGATTCTAGGTTTAACATTCATACAGACATACGTATTTTTCAACTATTTCAAAAAGACTTTATATGTATGTGATATCTTCATCCTAGTAGATCAATTTTAATTATATTTTTGATGAATTAAAAATAATTAATAATATTTTAATTAAAAAAATAATATGGAAAATATTAGATAAGTATAATATATTAAATAGATAATACTAGCGGACCCGACAGACGTTGTCCTGTCTACACGTCTTTAATTTGAAAATTACAAACTTTTTTTAATAATTTTTTTGATGAAAATTATTATTCAAATTGTGAATCTAAACCATTCCCAGATCCCCTTGAACACACACAAAAAATTTCATCAAAATCGGTCCAGTCGTTTGAGAGAAGTTCAGTGACATACACACTCACAGAAGAATTATATATATATATAAAGATGTAGCTAGCATTCACATTTAATTTACGGATAAACTGGTTACAGAGTTGCCTTGCAAATAATTTATCTAAACGGCAATATTAACAGATAATAAATATTTTTCTATTGCCCTATTAAGATTAAGATATTATGGAATCGTATAAAATGTCTTATATAAAGCTTCGTAGGAACTGTGTATGTTATCAGGAAACGACGCAACGCTCGAAACGTTATCTATCTAATTTTAATAATATCTATACGTATTATTTACTGCTATTGAATATTTTTTCCAGAATGTTAATATATTGTATCGTTGTTTGCAGAACAATTGTTATGAGAGAAGGTAAATGAAAAATAGATGTTGAAATGCTACTCGTTAATTAACATGGAATCTGAAAACTGAAAAATAACAGCGAATACAAATTAAAATAATGTCACAACTACGTGGCATTGCTTTCAACAACGGCCACTTAGTAAGATAATGGTTGCCAATATAACATTGCCTCTTTAATATTCGGTACTTACGAGTACTAAATAAATGAATAGAATAAAATTATTTATCCATTTACGCAAGAAAAGCCGTGAGCTAAAGTTAAGTTGGGAAGACAAGTGAAGCGGGTTCACCTGCTCTGAGACATTAAGTGCAATTTTATTGATTTTCACTTGCTAATACGAAGAAGAAAAGTGTCGGGACGAAACTTGGAGAACAAGTTTTCGAAAGAAATGTAAAGTCCGATAAAAATGAACTATGACCTCCTGGCATAAAATTTATTCTATAATACTCCACATTAAAAGTGCCGACTGGGCACAGGGCCCAGCAGTGGGATGTAAAAAGAGCTGAGTTTTTATATATAAGTTGTGCATTATCTAACAGTACTTGAAAAGTAATACCTAATTTGATTATAAGTACATAGTATTGGTAGCTACTTCGTATCCAAGGTTAAGAAGATACGAAACGGACAAATTGAATTTAAAAGACTTAAAATTATATTATAATGATAAAATAGTAATAAATTTTAATAAAAATAAATGACACGGTCTGCTTATATCACGTGTTAATGGCATTTATAACTAATTTACCTACTCTAAAAACTTATAAAAAAATCCAATTGCGTAAAAAAACGAACTTATTATGCAGTCATGGATACACATACACGCGTAGCTAGACTCGCACCAATCCTTATCGCAAAAAATGGAAAAAATATTTTACCTTGTGTTTAAGCAATTTATTCTTAGTTAAAAAGTACTTAAAAATATTTTGCTGAAAATTAATTTTTGTTTTAGTGTACTTATATTATTGAACAGGGATTCCTGTAATAGAAAAATAATTTCCTTAATAATTATTGTAACTTCAATAATATGATAATAAAAAAATTATTACAATTTTAGAGTTATCAATATTTTTTTAAGTCTTACTTTTTCTAATTGAAACCTTAAATTCAAGAAAGGTTTATTTTTTTATTTTGCAAAAATGCTTTCCGTTTTTAGTGCCAATGTTTCAAAGCTGACAACACTTCTGAAATGTCAGAATTCCGTCGAATTCAAAATCAGACTTTAGTATCTAGGAAAAGTATACCGAAGTCTGCGCAATGCGTCTGTTGCTAAGCAGAAGGCACTCTACGTTTGGGCTAATGCCAGGATACGTCCCATTAAAGTAAATAGTGTACCGTACTACAGAATCGACTTAGTCTCAAACTTTAATCCTGATGATAGCTCTATGCCAAAAATATAATTAAATCTGAAACATCAACTTAATTTGTAATTACTTAAATATATAGTTTTTTGGTTTTTTTTTCATGAATGAAGGATAGTTTATTATCTGTAAAATACATTTTTGTCTCGATTTAGATTATTTTTTGTTTGGACAATTGTACAATTATATTAAATTTTATTTTGTAAGCATTATTAAAGTAAAAACAATAAAAATATATTTACGGTGCTCTTCCATCTTCTCCTCCTGCATGTCGGATGGCGCACGCGCACGCACGTGCCACAGGTCCTTATCGAAACTGTACATTACTGTACAATTCACATGCACAGTGCCTCTTCATACATTAAGAACTATTTTCCTTACACAATAGAAGTCATTTAAACACAGCTTAATTGTTCAATCAAATAAAAAAGTTATGTAATATTCTTAGATTATAAATAATCTAAGGTAATATTATCTAAAAAAAAATATTTAATTATTGCTTGGATAAAATTATAATTTAAAAATAAACGATAATATCGTGAACAGTTCTTCAATCTAGCTTTAGTTTTTAAACATCAATTAAAGTACTTGTGTGCCAATACTCCGTGCCTAGTCAGTACTAAGCTCTTTGTAATACTAGCATAATAATCCTTTACAACCTTTTTTGAGAAATCAAAGCAAAGTATCGTATAAATGTCATTAAAACTTCTGTCTTAATGACGGAGTCAACTGTCGAACAACGTAGCCTCAAGTGTTTAAAGACTGTACACTTGACAACGCAATATGAATATTATCGTTCCACGTAACATGAGATACCAATAAGGTTATCGTAAAAACATTGACTCGCGAAACTATCGAGCCATCTTACTCTTATTAACTCTAATTCTATTATTAGAATAACAAAACTGTTTTGTTCATGTTTGGAAAATTACTCGGTATGTTGATGTCATCACCGTGAGAAATTACACACATAATTATATGTCATAATCATTTACTAACGTTTCCGTGATAAAGATAATGATACCTATATGAAATGTTATACAAAGCAGCAGGTTTTGAGACAGCGTCCACCCAAAACACATGGCCATCTAATTAAATAATAACTGAATACTAATTTATACAAACCCTTTCAGATTACTTAAATTTTAAATTAAATACTTTTTTTTTTTGAATATCATATATTTCTTCATATGCTCTACATAAAATAAACAATGTGAACGAAAATATAAAAATATTATTTTAGTGAAGACACATTTGGCTCAGTGTGTAGTTACCCTACTTGCTGTGCTAGAAGTCGCGGGTTCGAGTCCCGCTGGGGGCATTCATTTGTGTGATGAGCACGAATGTTTGTACTCCAGTCATGGGTGTTTATATTTATAATATATATGTATTTAATGTTATATATGAGTAGTGTATCAACTATCTGGTATCCATAACACAAGCCTCGTAGCTTACCATGGAACTAGGTGGTGCTGTGTGGTAATATCCCAACATATTTATTTATTCAATGATAAGTTATCTAATTTTTGTTTTCAATAAGTAATAAGGAGCTTAAAAAAATTAAAATATGTGTTTTAGAATTGTACATGACAAAGAACAATAAAGTATGCGGTTAACCATTTAGGTGCCATTACCCCCTTAATGCTAAGGAGCGCCCACTCACTACTGAATTTATGGGCTTATTGCCCACAGTACTTCATTGAACTATATTAGTTAACGAATTAATTATTGATTCTACGTTACGTTCCTACATTGTTTGCTATTCTGGGACACAGTCATGGACGCTTTTTTTAATGAATAGGGAGGGCTTCTAAGTGTTCTTTGTGTAGCTTCTGTTATATGTATTACTACGACAGTTTAGACTTTAGTAACATTTATTCACTATAGAGGTCACTGTAAATATTCTAGTCGTGTACTTAATGTTTCGTTTATTATTTAAAACATTTTAAATTAAATAATATTTTCTGACTAATTAGTAGATATATTAAGATATTTATTTGTTATTTTAGGCTAATAGATATGTGCATTTGATATTTTTCCATAGTTTTGGACACAAAACGAGATATGTCTCTCTCCTAGGCATAAATAGTAGCTAAGTCATGAACTGACACTAATTCAGAAGTAAAAACAAGCAACATGTCTAAGTTTTATTAAGTTTTTGTCAATAGTAATATTTGATCATATAGGTACTTAAGCAAATTTTATGAAATGTATACCAGAGGTAGCTAAATCAGTTATCAGAAATCAATTATTCATACATCGTATCTACTTGAATTACCATTCAATATGCTAGTATAGGACAAAATAGATCCTCTTTACAATTCAGCAAGATTAAATGCACTCCTAAGAGCGCAGTCTAAGCTCAGTACTAATACTGAGTACTCCACTTTACACCTTTTGACACAATATATAGATAGATAGAGCATTTAGAACAACGAGTAGGAGTTGCAAAAACATTCTTAGTTCTTATGTAGAAGGCATAATAAAGGTGTAACTTCAAAAGATGGCAAGAGTTGCAGTACGATCATAAAGGTCCATTCGTAAGGGATGAAAGTTTCTATTTTAAGAATGTTCCTCAAACGGAGGCTCTGACGCAATATTTTATCATTCACATCACTCGGCACGGGGCAAGGTTAAGTTGATAAGGGGTCAAATTATAGACACACATAACAAATTTAAATACCTACATTCAAAGTTAAAATAAAATATAAGACAGATTAAAAATTAAATATTAAAACGTCATTAGACTTTAAATTTTAAGATATAATTACTGACTTTTAGATTATATTAATTAATTCACTAATTAATTAACGTCGCGATTTTTTTTAAATATAATAAATTCATGTTATTCAAAATACACGTTCGTCGCATACACATCAGTGTTTATTGTTTATAAACATCCGCGTCCAAAATTACAATAATACCTATATCCTGTTTATGACGTGACCAATAAACAATTTCACATTAAAACATAATTCATAAAATTATTTTTCAAACTATATTTTACTTGGAAATGATTTTAAAACTATATTGGATAAAATATGGTACACAACCAACAGAGTATGTTAAATACTTAAATTATTATTATTTTCGTTTTACTACAACGCAGGTTTCACATTCATAAAAGTTAGCACACATTTGTTATTCAAACAGCTGTTGACTCGATTACGTTTGCACAAAAATCTTTATTAGACAGTAACGATGTTATAACAAAATATGTTTTTAAATACATTTAAGCCTATTTAGTAATTAGTTGGGTTAAAATATATCGAAAATATGTACATGCCACGCGAGCGCGATATGCAACGCAGTAATGGCCGCTAGTGCGCAACGGCGGAGGTTCGCGGACTGACTGTGAGGACTGAGGAGTGAGGACCGACCGTACTCAGTACTCACTGTGGAAACCTGCTACCGAGCACCGAATGCCCGGAGACGACTTTCCCCTAATAATCATCCATTATATAAAAATGTAAACATTAATTATTTTAATTATTCTGAAATATGAGTAGCATCTCACGGGTAGTTTAAATTGAAAATACTATTTGATTAATAAAAATGTGCGTAATACTGTCTTTTTACATTTTAAATAAAACTTCTTTTTCGTTTTTGAAAAATAAAACCGCGAAAAACCCAACAAAACTTTTTAATTTAAAACAATGTTTAAACGTGTAAAAAGAGATCTACATTCTACAGAACTGCACTGTCGATACGATTCAATGAAAAATTTATTACGTAATTATTAATTAAATATGTTAACAAATATATGTATTTATTTGTAGGTTAAGTTACGCGAGTTGTATTACATATTTCAGTATAATTTAATTAATTACATAAACATTTTTTAGAGAATCAAAGGTAGCCTATGTTTAAGTTCGCAGGACGCAATCTACATAATAATATGTTTTTTTCCAAATCTACACATATAATAAAACTGTAGAGGTCAAATTTCTGTACATAGAAAAAATGCTAAAAAGTTAAAAAGCGAGTCAGGGGGATGTAAGAAGAGAAATAGAACAAATCCAGTTTTTTTTTTTCAATTTTTTTTTCTCTGTTTGTCTGTTTGTATGGGCTAATCTCCGAAACTGTAGGACCGATTTAAATGAAATTTTGCATGGTGGTACCTTATATCCCCGGTCAACATTTTAGATACTTTTCGTCCCTCTGTTTGTGCTTTTCTAGAGACGAACCCGAGCGAAGCGAGGGTGATCCGCTAGTTTTATCGAAATATGTTCAGTAGACACACACAGACAGAAATACTTTTACATTTATAATATTATCTAAGTATAGTTGCAATATTGATTCAATAAAAAATAGTTAAACTTTATCCTGACGTACTACTTTAAAAAAAAATCATTTTTACGTAAACAATGTTACGTAGTGAGGTGAATGTGATGCTAAAATCAATAGCTTTGCGGCCTAACAGCTAAAAACTATGTACCTAATATTATGGTACCTACATCTACGTTATAAAAACCCTAAAAAAAACATATAATTTTATACATAACTTAAATGTTTTTAAATATTGTATTATTAAATTTTAAAGCATATGTATTTTTTCATACACATGATTAATAATTTTTTATCAGTCTATCTGCTTGTAAGCTGTTGTAATGTCTCCGAGTAATCTTCGAAATTGTTCAAATGTAGGGCTTGGCAATTTGATTCTTTAGGCTTCGTCTTTTCCCTCTCTACTCTGTCTAATTACGTTAAAATAAGATTTTTTGAAGAATGCTTAAAAACTTTATAACTGATCTCAATAAAAAACATTTATAGCAATCAAAACATAAGTTTAAATAATTAAAGTCAAAGCAAAATTAATAAAATATGTGACCACTGACCGTAATTGCACCATAATAAAAAAAGTAAACTTTCTAAACCGCTCCATCCTAGTATAATATTGAACATGTATTTCGCCCACCCACATATACCTTCGATAGCTCAGTTGGTAGAGCGGTGGACTGTAGAGGTATACATTGTCATCCATAGGTCGCTGGTTCAAATCCGGCTCGAAGGATTCTTTTGCTTTTTTTTAATTATATTTTATAAGAACGTTAAAAACTCAAATATTAACTTAATTATGACGTAATAATTTAGTAGAAAATATCATTGTTTAATCAATTTTGCGACTGTGGTAGCCTAGTGGTAACGTGCTCGCTTGGATAACCGAGTGAAGTGGGTTCAAATCTCGGGTCTCGCACGTCTGATATTTTCATGTGCGAATCATTACCAACGTGATTACGGTGAAGGAAAACATCGTGAGGAAACTTAAACGTAGTTAGTTATTTTTTTTAATTATAGTAAAAACTATTAATAAATATATTAAT